GCTGAGGATCAGACCTGCCCCACAACTGTACAAGAGAAGGTTCAAAGCCTCAAAGCTGAGAAGGAAGAAGAAGAGGCCTGCCAAGATGAGGAGGAGGAAGAAGAGGCCTGCTTAGTTGAGGAGAAGGAAGAAGAGGCCTACACAGCTGAGGAGCAAGTAGAACAGGCTCAGGTGGCAAAAGCATCATGTGAATACACGGAGTCTGTTAAAAAGAAGTGGGACCGACTGTCTTGTGAAATCATCGTAAAGGTGTTCTTACGTAAAGTCATGAAGGATTTCCGCCCCCATGTGGATTACAAATCAGTGGAAGCCAGACTGTCAGACATGCTGATTGAAAAGATGATTGGTACTGACATTAATGTTGATTTGAGCCTGAAAAGCATAGAAAAGAAATGCAAAGCTGTGTACAAAGACCTACGCAAGAAGGTTGGTGGCGGAGTTCTTTGGATAAGTCTTTTACAGCAGAAAGAAACAGTCATTGAGGCTGCGGCTGAGGCTCTAAAAAAGCATTTTTCACCACCAAGACCCAGCGGCATCCAAAAGGTCTTGAGATGTGTATTCCGGCCTTTCACTGCCCTCTTTAACTGTTGCTAGAAACATCAGGGTTTGGGTGGGTGGGTACATGTAGACTTTCCTCATATCCAGCTTGGACTCTCTGGGCTTCCAGCCTCACTTCAACTAGTAGCGCATGAAGTCCTGGATAGATATGAGGACAGACTTCAGGTCCATACATGGCCATCCACGAATGGGTTTACTCCGAGTGCTTCGGTTTCTCCCAACACAAGAATAAATTCTTAAAAAATAAAAAAAAACATCATCTCACACACACACACACACTCACAAAATAAAATAGCAGAGTGGCGCAGTGGAAGCGTACTGGGCCTATAACCCAGAGGTCGATGGATCGAAACCATCCTCTGCTAACCATGCTATCAGTAGCCCTTTGTGAGTCTGTGTTGTCCCCTTTCAGTCAGTCTGTACTTTGGTTGCCAACGGGTTCGAGCCAAAGTCTCAAAAATGGGTTGAACCTGTCATGGTCTGCCATACTGTTTATTTGTGTTTTTTCTCCTAACTTTGACTGTAGGAACCAATAATTGGAGAGTCTGCTCTGCCAAAAACATTGTGACAATTTTTGACAATCAAAAATCACTCTGTTCTTCGACACGTAAACGATCAGCCGGTCGGCCATGTTGGATATAACGGTGAATCAGACATCGCAACAACACGCAATCTGATTGGTCAGAAGTGGACACACAGAATGCGAAACTTAAGAAAAATCGACCATGATCCGAAAAAATTAATGCCGCAATATCGCAGGACGGGAAAACGTCGCTGATGTGAACGCTTGTATTGACAGGATACAGGTTCGAAAAAAAATATTGACGTCCGAAATAATCGCATGACAAAAACAGTCCTGGTGTGAAAGGACCTTTGGGGATTGAGTGATTCATTTCCAACACAGCCTTAGGGTGTGGCAGAATTTAGTTGTGATCTGTTGCCATAGTAACAGGGAATTCCAGGTGGAGTTCCCCTTTACCTTGGCAACATCACTGTGATGTCATCACTGTGATGACATCTAAGCTCTGATGTCATCAGAGCTTTGATGCCATCAGAGCTACTTCAAGGTAGGGCAGCATGAAAAGCATTTATTGACCGCACCAAGGAGAAGAAAACCAAATTGGACCTTGCTTCAAGATCATTGCTCAAACACAATCTTTGTTTTCAAAACAACTAACAAACACAAACACAGCTATGAGTCTCAACAGCACACCACAGAGGGTGGAACAGAAGTTTCAGCTGGCATCCAAAGAGACCTTAAAGCCAGTCATCCGTGAGGTCTTAGAACGGCTGACGGCGCAAAACTGGAACAGACTGGAGACTGGGTTTATTGACCCAGAAACCGCCTCTCTTGTGACAGATTTGTGTGTCACTATAGTTGAAGTTTTGGCTGAAAGTCTCTATGAGTCTTTAAGCAGGAGATTTAAAAAACGGAAAGGATCTGCTACATCTGTGTGTAAGGAGGACGTGCATGAATGTTTAGGTAACATGGGTGAAGTCATCACACAGACTGTGGCAGAAATACAGGGTGTAGGTGACATCCACTACCTTCAGTGCGAGCAGATGACAGATGTCATGGTCACAGCAGTCACAGAGAAAGTAAACTCCAGGCTGTCTAAAACAAGTGACACTGACGTCACGGAGGAGCACAAGCCCCCTCCCACCTATCTAATCAAACTGACTCGACACTTGAAGGTGATTCTCAAAAAGTGCTCCAAAAAGGCGAGTAAAATGATGACTAAAAAGAAGCTCAAGAAAGCTCGGGAAGGTGAGATGTCAACGTCACACCAGGAGAAGAGGGTGGAGGAGACTGAGGATAAAGTTCTTCAAATCCTGGTTGAACAACTGGAGAAGATTTCTAATGATTCTCTGAGTTACTTCACAGAGGAAGAAGATAGCCTGCTTCTTTCTAAAACCAGCAAGGACTCAGAGTTATCAGAGTTATCATTTCGGATTGTAGAAGCTTTTTCAAATGAGGCTTCACAGGACCTGGTTGGAGAGAAACAATCATACACAGAAGAGACCTTAATACACAACAGGAGAAAGGTCATCAACAGGATGAGGACTGTCTTTGTCCAAACATTTGCTCGAGGGTCAATCCTGAGCATGATGTGTAAAGTCAGACGCAAGCAGGCCTCCCATCAAGGACAGGAAGTTGTGGAATTAGACACATCACAGCTGATTAAGAGTGTGGATAACCTTTTATCAGAGGTCATTACACAAAACGATCAGGATACAAGAAGTGGGTCAAGAGAGGTTTGCCTCTTTGAGACTCTTGTCAGCAACATTTCCCACGGCAAGCTGGAAAGTTTTGCTGAGAAGCTGCATGACACATTGGACGACCACTTGACACCACTAGGAGTCCAAGAAGAAACATACGAAGAGGAGATTCAGACTGAAGTAGCCAATGTCATTAAACGGATAAGGAATTGGCTAAAGAAGCAGATCCGACTGCACAAGACTAGGGAGGACAGTGTGAGCGTGACTCTGAGACAGGTCAAGGAAGTTGTGCTCATTAAATATTCACATCTCAGTTCCCCCAAAACTGAAGCTGAGGATCAGACCTGCCCCACAACTGTACAAGAGAAGGTTCAAAGCCTCAAAGCTGAGAAGGAAGAAGAAGAGGCCTGCCAAGATGAGGAGGAGGAAGAAGAGGCCTGCTTAGTTGAGGAGAAGGAAGAAGAGGCCTACACAGCTGAGGAGCAAGTAGAACAGGCTCAGGTGGCAAAAGCATCATGTGAATACACGGAGTCTGTTAAAAAGAAGTGGGACCGACTGTCTTGTGAAATCATCGTAAAGGTGTTCTTACGCAAAGTCATGAAGGATTTCCGCCCCCATGTGGATTACAAATCAGTGGAAGCCAGACTGTCAGACATGCTGATTGAAAAGATGATTGGTACTGACATTAATGTTGATTTGAGCCTGAAAAGCATAGAAAAGAAATGCAAAGCTGTGTACAAAGACCTACGCAAGAAGGTTGGTGGCGGAGTTCTTTGGATAAGTCTTTTACAGCAGAAAGAAACAGTCATTGAGGCTGCGGCTGAGGCTCTAAAAAAGCATTTTTCACCACCAAGACCCAGCGGCATCCAAAAGGTCTTGAGATGTGTATTCCGGCCTTTCACTGCCCTCTTTAACTGTTGCTAGAAACATCAGGGTTTGGGTGGGTGGGTACATGTAGACTTTCCTCATATCCAGCTTGGACTCTCTGGGCTTCCAGCCTCACTTCAACTAGTAGCGCATGAAGTCCTGGATAGATATGAGGACAGACTTCAGGTCCATACATGGCCATCCACGAATGGGTTTACTCCGAGTGCTTCGGTTTCTCCCAACACAAGAATAAATTCTTAAAAAATAAAAAAAAACATCATCTCACACACACACACACACATACACACACACTCACAAAATAAAATAGCAGAGTGGCGCAGTGGAAGCGTACTGGGCCTATAACCCAGAGGTCGATGGATCGAAACCATCCTCTGCTAACCATGCTATCAGTAGCCCTTTGTGAGTCTGTGTTGTCCCCTTTCAGTCAGTCTGTACTTTGGTTGCCAACGGGTTCGAGCCAAAGTCTCAAAAATGGGTTGAACCTGTCATGGTCTGCCATACTGTTTATTTGTGTTTTTTCTCCTAACTTTGATTGTAGGAACCAATAATTGGAGAGTCTGCTCTGCCAAAAACATTGTGACAATTTTTGACAATCAAAAATCACTCTGTTCTTCGACACGTAAACGATCAGCCGGTCGGCCATGTTGGATATAACGGTGAATCAGACGTCGCAACAACGCGCAATCTGATTCACGCAAAATTCATATTGGTGCTTTTTTATGATACCTTGAAGAAAATGAGATTACCAACAAGACTGACCCTTTTACACTGCAATTATTAACACCTGAAACCAGTTCTCGGGCGGTCCGTGTCAGCTAACCACAGGGCTCTCAAGTTTTGAACTAAGCTTAGAGTGAGATTTCTTTGGGGGGGGGGGGGTGAAGAGTGATTGATGATAACTTTTAGTATAATCATCTCTTAAATACAACAGAGTGTGAGGGCCACATTAAGAAAAAAAAACATTTTTAAATTTTAGAGAATAAAGTTATTATTTAGGAGAATAAAGTCATTAATTTATAAGAATTAAGTCGTAAAGTTACCTGTTGTGAAGGAGAGTTGTTAAAATCAGCACTGTGGAGCATTTAGATGAATTGTACTTTAGTATAGGTTTCACAAACATGGAGATACTTAATCCTTTGGTACATGAGCGTTACACTGTCATGAGTATCAGAACTTTTAAAAAAATATATGAGAAATGCTGCTTTTGCGGAGGGGAAAATGGCTGGAAATGGCTGTACAGAGGGTAAATTCATCAATACAGCTGTCAATAGCAATAGCATAGGGCTTTAGTTTATAATAGGGCTGAAACGATTACTCGAGTAACTCGAGTAACTCGATTAATAAAATTCCTCGAGGCAAATTATATGCCTCGAGGAATCGTTTAAATCCGGAACCATGTGCAGCGCACGGTGTTTGCGCTCCTTCCGCTGCCGCGCGTTTGGTTCAATCATGGAGGAAAACGAGGACAGACAGAGAGAGGAAGAAAGAGATGACACGCAGAGGAAACGGCAGAAAGTGTCTTAAGTGTGGGACCATTACACACTGAAAAGGAAAGAAAACGCCGTGCAGTGCGTTCACTGTAAGGCGGAGTTGGCGTTTCACAACAGCACGTCTTCAATGCTGCAGCACCTTAAAAGAAAACACCCGGTCCATGCATTAAGTCCGCAGAGCGGACTGGCCACAACAAGGTAATGTTCACGATACTAAGCAGTTGCAGTTAAAACAAATCAATGTGATCAATAATCAAGAATAAGTCCAGTACATAATGTAATTTAATTTATGGCGCTGTCTAAAGGCTGCTTCACAGTGTAAATAAAAATGTAACACTTTTATATATTGAATAAATATACATTTGCTTGTCAAATTATGTTAGTATCCAAGAATTATATTATTTCAGCCTATTAATTAAACAAGTAAAATTAGATCCAAAGCCTGGAAATAAACATTATGACAGCAGTAAAGGCATAAATACAGTAAAGAGAGATAACTATGAATACAAATACTACTACTTCTACTACTACTATTAATAATAATAATAATAATAATATAAAAATAACCAAAACTAAAGGCTTGCTAAAAAAAAAACTAGATATGACTCTGATAAAAAGAGAACTGCAAGAACAATATAAACAGAACTAACTAAAAGTTAAAAAAATATTTCCACCATCAAATAAATGTGCATGGGCTAGTTGAATTATCTTAGTATATAAGTGTATATATATTTTTTAGAAATTAAACAAGATGAATTAGATCTGCAGTATGGAAATTAGCGTTTTCTTAGCAGCAAAGGCTGTGAATAGACATAAGAATGAACTCAATTAATATGAATACAATTAATACAAAAATAACCAAACTAAAAAAAACTTACTAAAAAGCAAGATATGGCCCAGAGAAAACAAAGAGAACTTAAGAAACAATATAAATAGAACAAACTTATAAAAAACTATTTACACTATTGGATTAATGTGCATTAACTAGCTGACTTATTGTAGTATCTGAGTATGATATTATTTTTTTTAGTAATTTCGCAAGATAAGTAAAAGCCAAATAAAATAACCAAACTCAAAACTTTACTAAAAAAACAAGATAATGATCCAGAGAAAAATAGAACTTCATAAACAATATAAACAGAACAAACTAAAAAAAAGTTATAAAATGTTTACACCATTAGACATATGTTAATATCAATATCAATTGGACTCTTTTTCAGTTCTTCAAAGAACCAAACTCTGGACAGCTTTGTGCGGCGACTTCCACCGTGTTCAACCGAGCAAGCAGCTGAGTTCACCGACAGTATTCTAAACATGATTGTCTCAGACATGCGCCCGCTTTCCATGGTGGAGGATGAGGGATTTCAGAAGATGATTTGTTGTCAATGGTTTAGTGAAAACTGCAAAGATCATTACCATAGCAATTAAAAGACCATCTGCAGACCTTGCCTTCAGTAGTTTCATGTGAACTACATGGTAAAATGTAAAACTTTTGGTTCCTGATTTATGCAGTAAAAATATTCATTTGAAAGACCTGGCCTATTTCAGTTTTGTGTGTTACTGATGGTTTTTAATGAGGCAAACGTGATTCAATGCAAAGTATTACAGTGAGAGCAAAACATTTCTTATCCGATTACTCGATTAATCGACAGATTAATCGATAGAGTACTCGATTACTAAAATAATCGATAGCTGCAGCCCTAGTTTATAATATGAGTTTATATGCCATGAGGCGTTGAGGTCTCTGCATGTGTAGGTTACTGACTTACTGTAATCATCGGGTCTAACTCGTCCTTTCAAAAACCTGCTCTATTTCTACCCGGATACAGACATGCTGCTTTTTGATTGGCTGTTCAGTAGATATACTTTATTTGATTGGCTTGCGCCTGGCACGCAGCTTCTGAACTCTCAGAGAAACTCCGTTGATTTCTACCTGTTCCATTGTTAAAGAGGTGCAACGTGGTGGACATCACGATTCACCATGTTCATTTAAATGCGTGAGAAATACAATGTGTGGCGTGTGAGTGTGTGAACAGGTGGGAATGCGTGTGTCACACGCTGAATGCGTGAGACTTGAGAGCCCTGTAACCAGCTAAAGAGGCAGCCCTGTTTTTACAGTTTCCTCTAAAATGCTCTTAAAAGAAAATAAATCTGACAGTCAAAAGTTAGCAGGATGAGATGTTTTTGTCAAAAGTCACTTCTTCTGCAAGATAACTCGGGATTGCTTTGTCTAACATTGACACGAACCAAAAATTCCTCACAGGAGCTTTAAACCAACTGAATACAAATTGACTGTGATACACTATTCATGTTTACAAACACACGAGTACCTCTTAATGGACCACCAGAAACTCCCCTCCAATATTTAGTTCCTGTGAGGGAAATTTGGTGCCCCCAGTGGATAAAGCCCTGCCTTGTACCTCTCTGCTGACTTTTGTCCTGTATTTGTGTGATTAGTGATTTGTTTCACATAGATTCTCATCAAGAATCTGTGAGACTTACTTCTCCTGACACCTACCCCATGGTAGCAGTCCTAGATATAAAAGCAACACCATAGTATTAGTCAGTAATAATATAATGCTGATGTTAGGGTATACTTTTGTGGGTCATTTAGAGTCATGATATCATGTTCACTCATTTTTGTGATCAGCTAAAAACTCCTCACAGAAGCCTTTAAATCTCTTACTTGTTACAGGCTCTCTGAAGTCTCAACTAAAGCCATGAGCTGAAAGCTATCAGTTACACACGACTATCACAACATGCAGATAAGTGGTCTTTAATAATAGACTTGGTTTGAGGGAACAGTTTTACAGGTTTGACTGTGTGTACATGAGCTCACAGCTGCACGCTGTACTCTCAGTTTCTGGTGTAAGGTTTGGATTTTCCTCTGAAATGATGCCTCTCGAGTTATTAACAGACATGACAAAAACCTGCTGTTCTCGTCCGGCCTATTCTTTTAGAGTGGGAATACTTGAGTCACACACACACACACACACACACACACACACACACACACACACACACACACACACACACACACACACACACACACACACACACACACACACACACACACACACACACACACACACACACACACACACACACACACACACTAGAATTCATTGCCAGCAGTGCAGAGTTCTCTCTGACAGAAGCTCACCACAGCTCTCTGGCACAGGAAGCCCAGAGAGCGGTGGAGTCATATACATTACATCATCTCTCAGGCATGTGCAAACAATCTGAAAAACTGGATCTGATTAAAGACTGCACACAGAGGCTAAGCTGCACCACCTAGAGCACCTCCCAAAATATGGGTCTGCCTTAAAGTTATCAAGAATAACGTTTGAACCCTAATCCTAAACGCGCGCACTCAAGGTTTGACCACAATCTGCTTTACATCTGAGACTTCAGAAGTTACACACCAAGCGGGTTTTCTTTTTTTGTACCCATGATCAAAACTTGGTTCTTGCATCAGTCTGTGTTTCTTTAAGTGTGTTATGTTGTTTAGGGAGTGAAAGATCTATAATTTGGGGGTCATGTATAGAGGTCTCTCTCTCTCTCTCTGTGTTTCCTAAAGAGCCAAACTCTGTGTTGAAAAGAAGCACCTCACATTTTTGTTTGGGCACTCATGATCCTCAGCAGGGGGTTTGCTCTTATTGGGCCCCATCACCACAGCCTCGACCAATCCTGGTACAATAATTAAAACTTGGTCTTTATATGCAAACAGCCAAATTAAAGCTTTTAATAACTATAACCCATTTTACAACCCCAAATCAAGTAAAAGTAATGTCATATTTTGAAAGCAAGATCATAGACTGTATATAAGATGGACAGAGTCTGCCTCCTCGCTGGGTGAAGCCACTCCGAGAACAGCACCTTCTGATGGTGGGCTGCAGTACAGGTCATAAATCCCGCCTCCGCCAGCAAAGCTTCTGGGACTGTGGACAAACTTTAGAATTTTATTACACAGAACATAAATTTTTCTCCCCCCTGCTTGTGATGTTGACATGTAGTTATTGTAAGACTGGTTTGTGCCCAAGTCCTTTTTTTAGGGGGTTCATGTTTTCTATGATTGACACCTGATACAGCCTTTGGGCGTTCAGGGATTGCGTAGCTCTCCCGGGGGATACGCTGTTTGAGCCGAGCGTCATCACAGGGACTCTCGGCGACTGCGCGGCCGAATGCGCACAACGCTACTGCACAGCTCTGGTTTCAAGGAAGTGGAGAAAAACCTGGAATTACCAAGAGCTTTTTGGCTTCAAATCCGTATACAGGCGGAAGGCGGAACCAGGTTGTCCATCTTATATACAGTCTAAAGGGGCGTTCAGACCAAACGCTTTGGTCAGTCACGTCGCGTCACGGGGTGCTCTGGTGTGTTCACACCGGGTCCAAAGCTGCAGTCGCAGCCAGTCGAGCGACGCGACTTGGCGTCCTGTGACCTCGGCGACGCGACCTCGGGGACGCACCTTGGCGACCGGTCGCTAGGTCGCGTCGCAGGCAGCCGGCGGTCGCCAAGTCGTGTCAGGTTGCAGCTGGCCATAGACTTTGCATTGGGAGCCGTCGCCATGTCGCGTCAGGTCGCGTTTGGTCTGAACGCCCCTTATGAGCAACATCGGTTCGGCTTTCCCTCCATATCTTTAGGTTACGTCTGATCTTTCTTCATGTCTGTTGACCAGGGTGCAAACTTCCCTAAATATGAACAGCCCTTACTTTCTTAACCTTCATGTGCTCTGCTTTCATTAAGGGGTGTTCAGACCGAACGCGACGCGACCAGTTGGTCGGTCACGTCGCGTCGCGTGGTGCTCTGGTGTGTTCACAGCAGGTCCAAAGCTGCAGTCGCAGGTCGCGGCTGGTCGCCGGTGACGTCATCCATGAGAACGTCACTAGCTCCGTTTTCAGTTCATCGTCCTCTGTGCTGCCGGATATCTGTACATCCGCAGTAGACGCCGCCGGCGTTTATGGGTGCATGAAACCATCCGGAGGAGGACGGAGCTGGGTGAATTTCACCGCTTGCTCCAGGAACTCCGCCTGGACGACGGCCGCTTCCAGCGGTATTTCCGTGTGTCGACGGCGCAGTTCGAGGACCTCCTCGTCCGGGTGGGAAGCAGCATCTCCCGCCAGGACACGAACTACAGGCGCTCCATCTAAGCTTCGGAGCGCCTGTCTATTTGTCTGTCCCTCATATTAACGTCCCCAAGCCCCTTCCACCGCTTGCGGCACACATCCACTGCAAAGACACACACACATACGTTGAAACATGTAGCCTAGCAAGCAGGGGCAGTTAGCTATGTTTTCATAATACAGTACGCTCACTGAAATACTTTGTTTGTTTACACAAACAAACTTACAGGAAAGCCCGACGTCATGGGCCACCTTCGCCAATGCCTCCTCCATGGAGGTGCGGTCCCGGTAAAACGCGCACCCCACGTCGTACAGGACCGGGTGATAACTCACGGCAGTGATAAACTGCTCCTCCATTGTGATTCTTCTTCTCCTCTTCCTTGTTTCGCCGGTTTGTTGACGTCAACAGAGCCCTGATTGGCTGTCGCGGCACGGAGTCGCGGATAGTCGCTCCCAAAGTTCAGATATTTGAACTTTGGGAGCGACGCGACTTGGCGTCCTGCGACCTCGGCGACGCGACCTCGGCAACGCGACTTGGCGACCAGGTCGCCAGGTCGCGTCGCAGGCAGCCGGCGGTCGCCACGTCGCGGCTGGCCATAGACTTTGCATTGGGAGCCGTCGCCGAGGTCGCGTTTGGTCTGAACACCCCTTTACTCTTGCTATTCTCGGAGAAACCTTGTTTTTCCCTGCTCACTTGAAGCAAACAGACAGCAAAGCACTTTTTAACACTGAAAAAATAATGAATAATTTCACATGCCTTGAAGTACACTTTGTTTATAAGGCAGTATCAGGCTCAGTTTTAAAGCTACCAAGAAATTATTAAGACCATTTCACTCTAAATGACAATGAATCAACCTGTATCGAATATTTAATGCTTGCTTGGAAATTTGCCATAGATAGATAGATAGATATAATATGAGGACGTATGATGTTGAGAGAGTTATGGACATGTCAAACTCATTTGTGAATCAGTGCCTAAATATGATACGGACAATTTAAAAGAACAAATGACACAAGAGTCAGAGTTTGTAAAAACATTTATTTTCAAGGATGTCTTATATTCAGCAGTGCGTTTTACCAGTTTTGTGGTTTTATAATATTACATGTTCCTTCTGTTAAGCATACACCTGGGTTCTGGTTTATGGTACAAAAACATCCCAGCAATGACCTGTATAAATGAATGTGGGAACACATATATAAATGTGCTTGTGTTTGAGTGCGCACTTTTGATTTTGAGATGGCGTTTTAAAATTAATATACATACAGTATTATGAATTACAGAATATTCATAACAGGCCCAGGCAAAGAAGCAGTTTTCACCAACGATAATAATAAAAAAAAAAACAGGTCCAAGAGGAAACACTTAGAGATATGATGATGGAATGAGTACACAGATAGAAAACCCAAAGTACTGGACTGAGCCGATCAGCTCCAGTCCCAGGAATGTGAAGCAGTGGGGTGTTTTTGGTCGACAGAAACATGATGTTCACAAGTGATGACTTCATGCCAGCACATTGTTCCTATTACACATAATCAGTATGTACAAGTTTCAAGTAACACCTGTTTTATTAGTCCTGTTTTGCCCATCTCAAGCAGGTTGGTGTACCAATGGAAGTTCATGTAGAGGCACACACAGCACGTTGTCATCTGTTACATAATAAACGACCTGCTTAGAGCCCAGTTAAAGTGAATGTGTGTGTATGTGTGTGTGTGTGTGTGTGGGAGTGAGAAATGTTAAATTTAGGATCTGTTCAAGACTCTCGATCAGTAAGATGTAGTTCATAGAAACATTTCACAAATAGTCACAACCTGAGTGGTTCCATACAAGCTGTTAGCCAACTCACATTACACTTGCTTTGCTTAGCATCCTAAAAAAGGCCCACAAAATAAAGAGATAATAAAACATCACAACATGGTGTCTGAAAAAGACGTTGAGACTGCTGTGAACTGTGAGGAAATGACTGCAGATGACAAAGCTGAAACCTGAACCAGTTGCCAAGTTCAACAGAGATACTCTGCACACTGCATGTGTTAGTCTTTGGCATGGTTAAGCATCAGAGAAAGTCAGTGTGCTGAGCAAAGACATTTAGGACATCATGTGTGGGAGCAGGTGGAAGCTCCTCCAGACCAGACTGGGGTTAATATCCTGTCCTTTTTTACAGTATGATCTCACTTTACTTGAAACCATGTAATCCTTTCCTATCACGGGATATAAGCGATTAGAATTATGAACATCAGAATTTGAAGCACGCGACAACAAGATCTTTAGTAAGGATAAAAACAGTGAAGTGATATTAAACATGATGCATAAATGCTTTCAGTATTTATATAAGGACTTGGGCCAGCATCTGTTTTAAGGTTGACTGCAGCATGAGGTCAGCAGAAACGTAACCGTTACAAACATCAGCTGGAGACAGTCGAGCTGGTTTTACAAGGCAACTCCAATAAACAACACCCGCAGCGCGACATGCAGATGGATCTGATCTGAACCAAGAGTCAGCTAGTTACTACATGACTAATCGTCGTACCTCACAGTGGCTTTAGACGCAGATATACTCATTCTGGATGTATTGGCAGGAAACTAACAGACTCGTCTGGCTTTGATTTACGTCACTTTCTGATTCAGCTTGACTGGATTAACACAGAAATTCATTAGGAAGCTTCGGGCCTCAACAGCAACTAGATGTTTCTGATGTTGTTTTTCCTGTTACTTGTTAATGTTCATGTTCACTGCATTGTATAAAAGGAAAAAAAAACACAAATAAAATGTCTGGACAGATCATATGAAGGCTCAAAAAAAAGGAAGCAGCTGAAATGAAATGACTAAAAACTAATCAGATGTACACCTTCCATGACGACGACAACAAAATAATATTAAACAAAAGTATAAACATGTGATTAGGAGAGAGCAATTCCAGTTATTTCCCTTCTTCTCAGATGTATGTTCTGGTTGAGCATGCCTTGCCCCACAGTTTGGCACAAGACTAAAGTTTCCACACAGTGAGATGAGACCAGGGCATTGGCTGAAATTATTCCACGCAACAGTGAGATGAAACGACAGGATTGGCTGAGAGACAGGTCGGGGTGGTTGTTCCCTACAGGTCTCCTTCCACTCGCTTCCTGCGGACTAGAGAGTGAAAAAAGGAATGACAATCAGGCAAAAGTTTAAACTTCACCAAAGTCAGTTCACTACATGAAAAAAACCACAAACATGCTTTGCAACTTTCAGCTAACACAGGCCTGTTAGTTTCTCACGAATGTTACATCATTATGAGCTAAGCAGTCAAAGTTAGGACCCATTTCAACAGCATGTGACAGCGTGTAGAGAAAACAAGAAGTGAGATTTCATCACTCTCACACCGTGTCGACCTCGGTACTGTTAAGGCCGTGAATACTGCGTTCAAACACTCTGATGCACTGACACACTCATAGACACACCCATGCATCACACCTGAGCTACCGCCACGCTGACGGGATGAAGAGCTACAAGAGAGGAGACGTCATCGCTCTTACTAAGACGGAAACCAGTCGAAGGGGGGGTAACAAGATCTGCAACAACTCATCTAGCTTTTGCAATCTTGAATCTGTGTGTGTGTGTGTGTGTGTGTGTGTGTGTGTGTGTGGGTGGGTGTAAGTGTGTGTGTGTGTGTCATACCCAGGTCGTTGTTCTTGGTGATGGCTGCAGCAGCTCTGGAGCGAGGTCCTTGCTGGGTGAAGTGATAGCCGAACTTGACTATGCTGTTGTTCTCTTCCAACATTTTAGCTATCTCCATCTCTATGTTGGTACCAAGCTGCTGCCTCTGAAACACACACACACAAACACACACAAGTACAGAGTCAGGCTTCAGCTTAGTTCATAAAAGCAGAAATCGACCACAAGAATACAGTTTAACCTCTCTCTCTTCCTTCCTTTCTTGGAAAGTCTCAGCTGGTCTTTTGGTGTCTTATTCAGGCAGTGGTTTGTGTGAGTTGGCTTTTTGTTCGGCTGCATGCTGCCTAGTGCAAACATTATTTTACAACTTGAGGCTGTGGAAAACCACTTTGTTTATAAAAGTGACAAAACTATCAGAGAAAGTTCCTTCTTTTACCAGCATAGATCCTGGATGATGGCAGCGAACCAAAACACAGGAATCTAAAAGGTCATGCTGATCACGTTCAGGCCACACCAGAGTAAGTTGGAATTTTCTGTATTTTAAGTCTTTTTTGTGTGTGTGTAAAAATGGGCATTGTAAGATCGGATTTGTTAGGGATAACTTGGCTTTTTGAGTCCGCCTTAATGGCAGCATTTGGCAATTTGCAACAGCTTCAATTTAAACACCGAGGTTGCTGCTAGGTGCCAACCTGCCAAAAAGGACCAGTCCCAAATCGACATATAAGCAGTTTTTTGGCACTTCAGTGTCAGATGCATTTTATTTAGGGGTATCAGGGTATAGGGGGGCTGAATACAAATGCACACCACGATTTTCAGATTTTTATTTGTTTAAATTTTTGAAAACCATGTATCATTTTCATTCTACTTCACAATTATGTGCTACTTTGTGTTGGTCTATGAGAAAAAATCTCAATAAAATACTTTTAAGTTTGTGGTTGTAGAGTGACAAAATGTGAAAAAGTTCAAGGGGTATGAAGACTTTTTCAAGGCTCTGTATGTTTGCGTGTTTGCACAGCATCCGGTACCTGGTTGTCTATCTTGACCTCTGTGAGTGTGTCATTGTCTCGCAGCGCATCGACCAAAGCCTGCACCCCCGCTCCGGTAATAAAGTTCGATTCCAAGTTCAGACCTTGCAACGTCTTGTTCTCCCGCAGCATGTCACTGAACGCCTGAGAAGTGGGAAAGGACAGAAGAGGAAGAAATAAAACAAAGTGTTAAACATGGGGTTGTCCTGGTGTAAACAAAGCCATTAAAAGCCCACAAGCCACCGTCTTACCACAGCTATTGGGTCGTTACTCCGTGTTGCTGCCAGGCTGAACTTTTTGACGTGCGTGTTTTTCTCCAAGGCCTTGGCAAAGTCCTTCAGCGTGGGGATTGGGATGTTCTGAAAAGAAACGAAAACACTGCCATCATTCAGGGAATTCCCTGTAACGCTAACAGTAAAACCTTGTGTTTCTTTTTACCTTTATATTGTTGAGATTGACCTCTGTTAGAGAGCTGTCGTTGCTTTTTATCCTCTGCAGAGTTTCTTCTACATTAGTGGGATTTGGAGGCTCATCGAACACAGGATTCATCTTCTCTCCTTTGATCACATCTAGATAAAAACACGGCCAGAGGTCAAGATATTGATCCTTTCTAGCCCTTTGACTTTAAGGGTTAATCCTCTGGTTGTACTTACTGTTGTAACCCGCTTTGGTCCCAGTCCCATCATATGTCTGAGTACTGGTGACCAGTGTGTGGACACCCAGGATTGCTGCAAAACAAAAACAAACCAGTGATTGATTGAATGTGGTGTTCCCATGTGTTTGAAAAGGCCCCAGTAATCAAATGAAAGGTAATCAAATCTAGAGTCCACAGCAGACAAGCTACTTTGTTCCCTCATCATCACGCTGTAAAGGGCAGCGCTAGGAGCTGCTGTTTTGTGGCAGACTCACAGACAACAACTACACTCAGTTTAGTGTGAATTTGTGACTTTCTTTAAAGGTTTTCTTACCTGCTAGATCACACAGTTCTGTATCTGTGGCGCTTGACAGAGCTTCCTCTAATTCTGGATCCAGTTTTGTGACTTCTTCCTGCCGTGATTCTATTGGTTGTTGTTTAGGAACAAAGACTTTACCTATGAAGACAGAAGGAAAGGCCGATAGGGAAAAATGAAGTGTTTTATCGAGTTTCTAAACTCAAAGGAGATGATACAGCCCTCATGAGGGAGGGCAAGCAATAAATGACTCGAACATGAGCATGCAGAGGAAACAGGTGAATACAGGCCTGGAGAAATTTTATTAGATGTTACGCAACACCCCTAATTCTGTCAAAATTGTCTAACTGCTGGCTCATGTGCCTTGTTACTCTCCGACAGCCGTCCCTAAACACTATCCTTGTGCCCCGGTCATAAGACTGCATGACTGCCAAATGCTGCTCTGTGAGTCTGTTTACAAGCTGAACGACACATCCCCAGATGAAACCACAGAACAATTAATGCGCACAAAAAGTTTTGACAATGAAAATCTTTTGTTGATTTACATTTGTACTTGAGTTTTCTGGACACAAACAGCCCTCTTTGCAGCAGGACCATGATCCTGGTCCTTGTTCGACTCTTTCCTTCCCTCCTGAGCTTCAACCTCTACTCCTGCAAGAAACCACATTGTGTGTTTCTCGGCTTGTTTTCTTAAGCTGATTAAATCTCTTATGCTTCCTTGAATTCACCGAGTATCAGCACTGATCCAGTAGAAGAAAACCATTTTCACTTAGTGGTTTGTTTTTAATAATATGCACCGTGTTTGAGTCTAACTGAAGGAAAAGATAAGTTCAAACTCTTTCTTAAGCCGTGCGTCTGACGGGGAGGTGCTGTTTGAGTAAATCTGGAGGGCCTCCTGCTATTTTACACAACATTCCCCAGTCCAGCCATGAGTGTCCGACAACTATGGTATCACCATGGCAACCTATCGAAAAGACGAAACCAAATGTGCGAAGGAAGTCATGGAACAATGAGTGGAGTCTGATCTAAACTGCACTGCTGGAGCATTACAAACGCTTGCACTGGACAGAGAGACCATGCAGTGGCTGCCTCTCTCTCTGCCCCTCTATAGGACTCTCTCCTTCCACAAAAACACCCCAACAACAGCCCCTCATTCTGAGTCCCTCATGCCAGTCAAATTGTTCAAAGTGGTCCCAAGTGGGGGCTCTGGCACTTCCTGAAAGCTAACAAACAGTAAATACAGTCATCAGGCAACATCCTGCGCCAGTGCCTCTGGAGAGCCTCAGAGCCGAGACGGTGCCAAGATACTGACAGTCCCATGGTCTTCTGTATGATCCATATATCATGGATTCAATGAGAGAGTCCAGAGAGTAAATAATATATTGTCTTTCTATTGTAGCAGTTACTTAAGTATCAGAAAAAAGCTTTAACTCCAGTCATGGTTCAAGGAAGATCACAACATTACAAACATTTAAACTTGTTGTGATCAGACATTTGACACAACCAAAAGATTAATACATGATACATCATCCTACTGTCGAACATGCTAACACACATACTTAAGGCCAAGTACAGAAAAACAGTACGAAAGTTATAGCATAATTCCAGCTCTTGGCAATTTGGGCCTTACGTTGGAGTTTTGGAAATCAAGTCAAAGCTGGAAACAGGCAGTGATTCTACTTCATTAAAATGGCCACTAGTCGAAACGCGTCTGTCAAATAAAGCTGTTTTCCTGAACTACAAGTGTTACTGGAGCTCTTTTGACCACTTTAAGACCCTTCTTCTGTGCCAGTTGTGCCAGGATTTTGGTCCTCTAAATCTGATTATCATATTATATGATCGTCAGATAAATCAGAAAGTTCTAACACAGCAGTTAAACCAGCGCACAAGAATACATAAAAATAAAAAAACTCTTAATAAAGAAGACATTTTGGAAGATATGTCTGTTTAGCTAAAAGATAAAAAAAAAGACCTGTCACTAATGTTTAGAATAATATTCTACTACTTCTACTTACTTCTTCTGCATTACCAAATCCCAGCTATTGACTTGGTGAGGTAATGTCAGAAATAAAATGCACAAATGTCATACGCCTTATACTCAACTGGAATAAACCCTTCACTTAGATGCAGTTCCAGCTCCCTATCTTAAAGTCACCTAATGGAAAAAGCAGGTCTGAAGAAAACTGAATAAATGAGGAGAGGGGTGAGGGTTGCTGTGCATTTGCGCACTTTGTTTTCATTAGGATAACAGAGCTACACCCTCCACTGTATCTAAAACAAACAAGAGGTTTTTTCCAAACTTCAATAGATTCAGTCCTTAAATAACTCAGACTACTGTAACCATCTTAAACCTTAGCTAGGACATGTTACAACTTAGCCAACTGGACCATTTTAAACCCCAATCATAATACCAGAATAATGAGCAAATCTCTCCTTTTTTTGTAGAGTTCATGTTAACCTTCTGGATATCCAAAGGTTGGAAGTTAAGATGGGTAAACCCTGAACATAAAAAAGATGGACATTGAACAAGCCAAAAGGACTAATCTCCCAAAAAACAACACTTTAGATAGTAAAGGGCTGCAGTGGTTTCCATGGTATTTAAGTCGCCGGTTTCCTCTGCGTGTTATTTGAAGGCGGTACACACTCACACACACTCATGACCACATTATTTGCCAGCAGGGGGTGAGTATAACAAGGGGAACAAGTCAGCTGCATTCCACAGAACCACCACAGTGGTTTGAGTTTTCCATGTTGTCACACACTCATGCATGCACACACACTCATGCATGCACACCCACAGAGGGAGTATGATTTCCAACAGGCCAGAGCAGGGTCAGCGGAAAGATGTCAGCTCCATATTTCCTCTCCGGTGAGACACGAGCGTGCAGATCTCCAGAGATCCAAACAAAAGAAATTCCACTGGATGACATTTTTTTGACCAGGAATTATTTCCTGTTCACGCTAATGTTTTCTCCTGTTGTTCTGTCTCATAAAGCATCTTTTTTGTTATAGAAAGGGATTAACCTAAGCGAGTATGTTTGAAAAAGAGGCTGTTCCTCTGAAAACGATCAGGTTATTTTTGTGTACACAGCAGCGCTAATCCCAGTGGTGTTTACATCCCCCTCTGTGAAAATGACTACTCAAAAACACCTGCTGTGTCGTGACAGAGTTCTTTGGCTACATTATTCCTCTTTGGGTTTTTAACTTCATCATAACACAAACTATTATTCTGATAAAACATCCCCATGCCAGTCTGACACACATGTTTACCTGCTCAAGATCCTGATTATATCACTTAAAACTGCCCGAAAGACATAAATCAGATACTGATCCTTCAATCTATGAGTAATCCAGATCCTTTTTGATTGATATGTAAAGAAGAGAGTAAAGCCAACTAGATAAATGGCACCAATATGAGACATGTGGTCTGTTTACATAAAGCTTTGGGCTTTGATTTACATAGTTTTGACTGAGGCCAAGTGTCGAGAAAACCAAGCCAAGGGTCACAAATTGAAATTTGAAATCTTAGTATTTGCTTCAGATTTTTTGTTACTTTTAAGTGAATCTAAAGGGATTTGTGCTGGTAAACACTTGTGTATTTTTGTCACACTGTTTGTTGGAGGGAAATTGGAAAAAAATTTGAACTTTCTGCCTTAGAATTATAAAAAAGGTAAATATCCAAACCAGCATCAATAAAAAAAAAGACACATTTAGGACACCTAAACCCTACCTCCTCTCCCCTGGTACATACACATCTCCCCCTAACTGCTTTACGTTGCATAAGAGCAGACATGTATTACTCATATATGCTAGGACAGCAGAGCGCTAAGTGTCGCTGTGCTGTGTGATGCTGACGCGGACAAACCTCGGTTCATCCTCTCTCACCATTTCTCACAGTTATGCAACATCCAGTGGCATCACACTACTGATGATATAAATGAGGTATAGTATATGTTATAATTATAATCTCTCAGACTCCCTTTGATAATCTGGACTAAACAAAAAAGAGTGGAGGTGGATTTAAATTAGTGCAGTGTTCCCTGTTTATATGTTCCTGTTCGCGTGGGAATTACTCAGGTTTTGTGCTGCGTTTTATCGTGCACACATATAGACAAACACACCTTTTTTCTCCCCTGTGAAGGGTACTATATCCTCTCTGTCTTTGTACTCCATGGCCTCTTTCTCCAGATATTTTAGGAGGCCTTCTCTGTTAAACGATCCTGTTGGTTTCTTGGCTGTCTGGTCTTTCTGACGTAAGCCAGCAGGGAGGAGAGCATTCTGCAAAGAGAGGACAGACAATAAACAGAAGATAACATCAACGCCTTCACTGTAGACCTGGGCAAAGGTTAAAGGTCAAATCATTGCATTCTTCAAAGCTAAAAATGTTTCAGTATGCCAAATCCTCCCACAGGATTGCTTCAACATCTGTCATTCAAACTGTCAATGCATATCAGTTGAAATATGCGTTATGGGTTTCCACTTCAGTTTATACAATCTGTGTGCGAGGCTGAGATAAGCTGTTTCCTTTTCTTCAAGTTTTTGTTAAATACGGCTCTGCTAACAAAGGCCAGTTTATCCTTTGCACATTGAGGCCGGTCTTGTAACTCCAAGCAATACCAGATGTAGGAGTTTGAGGGTCCCACAGGGAAATAGAGTTCCTCTAAACAGGAAGCAAAACAGACAAAGCCGAAGTTTAAACTGATGCATGATACACTAAACTTGCTGGCAAACAAAACTTGACATAAAAATGCAACAAAGTGCGGACAATAAGCAGAGGGTGGAGGTGAATGAGGATGTGTGGAAAGTTGTTTTCTGGCCAGCAACCATTGAAACTAAATGCAGTGCTTCTTAATGAGAACACACCACACTGCACTTGGTATATTTACCAGAATAAGGTTGAAAATGTAATATTTCCACATTTGCTGCAGACTGTTTTCTTTGGGTCATTCCTGAGGGTCACTGCAGCGTTATCTGTCTCTCTTGGTTTGGCTGGAATTTAAATAAAACGCCCCGGCGCCTCGGGAGGATTTCATTATACTCTAAAGCTTTTTGCCACAAATAAACACACAAACACTTGGCAGTGCACTGACAGAGTTACTGCAGCTCAGACGCCCTCCCTTAAATTTTTCTCCTCTACCATGGAGGCTGGGGACTGGGAGGTGTTGTTGGAGGGTGTAAAGGAAAACTTCCCCCTTGGATTTTGGAACTTCAATCAGGAAGTGCCAGTTAGATCTGGGAGTCAGTCAGTGAATTTTAGTGCAAACATTATTTTAGTCTTTTAATCTTATAATGTTTCCCCCAATCAATCCATTTGCAACAGGAACTCCTTCTCTCTAAGGAGCTCTAGAGCTTCTCTAACTTTTCCTAGTTCTGACCTCAGGGTCCATCTCCTCGAGGGCCACCTCCAGCTGTTTGAGCTCTTCTGCCGACAGTTTGTTGAGGATTTCATCTTCGTCCAGATCCTTGTACTTGTCCAGATCCTTCTTGAACGACAACGCCATTGTGCTGGCAAAAGCTCACTACACCGGACACTTCACAGCAGACCACAGCCACAGTTTGTCTTCTCAGCCGCTCAGCTACAGACCAAAGAGAGGAGACCTGGAGACAGAGGAGGACACAGAAATCATTAGTTGCGGGTCATGTAGGTTTAAAATTCTCTTTTATCTAGCCGAACCAAACAGTATGATTTCATCAAACCTAAACTGAGCCTGCCATTGTTGATCCCATCTATGTGAAACAATACTTTCTCACAGCTGGGCTGGATCATGAGGCCTTACAGTGATGCAACACAAACACACATCTGAAACAAATGGACCTTCTCAGGCCCGGACAAATCCTCTGACCGCTCCTTTGAGAATCAAAAACATCTCCTTGCAAACTAAAGTTTTGCTCCTCAAGAGAAACAAATCAATTAAAAAGAATTCTTAAATTTACCAAATGTTAAAAAAGGTAAATTTGCCTGTTCTTTTCAGAAGTAGCACCTGAAAACAAAACAAACTGTTACAGTGGCTGGAAGTACTTCAGAGACCCTTCAAATATTTGTATAAGCAAAAACACAGCAGCAAAGAGCAAAGAAAGCTCAGATAAGTGACAAAGTAAAGGAGCGGGTGTTGCATCCTGTCAAACTAAATGAAGAGGCTCCATGCTGCCTTCAGTTCCCTCTCCCACGCCACGGTCCAAAACTAAAATGACCTCATGATTTCCAGGCTCCCTGCAGGACACCACAGATGGTTTTAGTCCTATGGTTTTAGTCCTAATCACACACACACACACACACACACACACACACACACACACACACACACACGTTTAAACTCTTCTTGGTTACATGCTCTAAAGGCAAAAATTATCAAAAAAAAAAACACAAAGTCATATTTGTATGTTTTAAACTCAAAAAGCATAGTCTGTGGAATTACGTGAAATTGTCTAAGATCCACTGATAACAGGGAAAACTCTCTGTTTTCAGCTCTACAGTTCAGGAAATGATTCTTGAAACATTCGGTGTAATTCTCCCACAGCTCCCTCAGTGATTTCTCCAGTTCAGAGGAAATCCCTGAAGAGAGTCTGAGTCTCTTTGAATACTCAGTTTCCTGTCTTCACTGTACAGCCTCTACAGTCCTCTGTCCTGGACGAACTCTCCTCCTCACCTCCTCCATCATCCCATCGCTACGACTCCACATATTTATTTGGGAAATGGTTATGAGAGTCATAGAGAGGACACTTACAAGCTTGAGTGCCAGCAAATGCAGCAGAGCCCAAATGTCAGCAGCACTGATGAGTTTAATCAAACCAAGCATATGAAAATAATGATGTACAATAAAAACCACACTCACATTTTCTACTGTGCAGCGGTGTAATCGAATCCATCACACAAAGTGAAGAAAAGTTCACAGCTAAATGTCGGGTACTGTAACAGCTGACCCAGAGAAAGGAGATCAGCCATTCAGGGTGCAGTCAAGCTTAACTAACACAAGACAAAAATTATACTAATATTCATCAGCCAGAAAGACCAGTTCAGACAATAGCATTGTTAATGATTGAGCCATAACAGAGTAGTACTTCAAAGACTATAATAATCATAATTTTAAAAAAGGAAGAATTAACCACTAAACTTAAAAACTGGCTGATTTACTATATTGTTGAAGTGGAATAAACATAAAAAATTTCTTTATATGAATTGTGAGTTGAATTTGACTGTGCTAAATAGGGGTGGGAGAAAAAAATCGATACAGCATAGTATTGTGATATTTTGTCTGGTGATATATTGTATCCTCTCATTTACCAAGTATCAATTTTTCAAATTAATTGCTAATATAAAGTCAAATCTATGATAATGGAGAAATAATATCAACTGTTTGTCTAGTGAGGGGACATCATACAGCAGGTGAAAGTTAGTGCAACTTATATATAAGGTTACATGAAAATAAAACACCAGCCACCTTCGTGGGAGAGACCGGACATCCCCGCCAAGCTCCGCAGGAGAAGCAGAGGATGCAGAGCCGGAGTTCAGCATCGGGCGAAGCGGAGATGTTATAAACCAACTGTCCCGTCCATTATCATGGACGGAGTAACTTCTTTGAGGTCTCTCCCCAACAAGATGGAAGGGCACACAGCGCTGACTCGGCTGCAGTGGGAGTACCGGGAGTACAGCCTCATGATGTTCACTGAGTCATGGCTGAACGAACTTACTCCAGACTCGCTCATAACTTTGGATGGATTCATCTCGTCAGAGCGGACCGGAGCATGAGGGAGAGTGGTAAGAAGAAAGGAGGCGGGATAGCGGTGTATGTGAATGAGAGATGGTGTAATACTGGGCACATCAGTGTTAAAGAGCAGCACTGCTCTAAGGACATTGAGCTGCTGGCTGCAAGTTTGCGGCCATATTACCTGCCGAGGGACTTTTCGCACGTAATCGCGTTAACTGTTTACATCCCCCCTCGGCTGATGCTGCTGCAGCCTGTGAACTCCTCCATAGTGAAGTGTCCAAGCTACAGACATCACACCCTCAGTCTCTGATCATCATCTCTGGAGACTGGAGACTCATGCATTGCTCTCCTCCACTCTCCCTACCTTCAGCCAGTATGTGAATTGCCCAACAAGAGACAATAAAACTTTGGACTTACTGTATGCAAACACCAAGGATGCATACACCTCTTCCCCCCTCCCCCTGCTGGGCTGCTCAGATCGCAACCTGCGGAGACTGCAGCCCATTTACATACCTATGGTGAAGAAACAACCCCCCACCATCAGGTATGTAAAGAGATGGTCTGAGGAGGCCACTGAGGCGCTGCAGGACTGTTTTGAGACCACAGACTGGGATGTACTGTGTGGCCACACATGGTGATGACATCAACACCATGACAGATTGTATCACGGACTATATAAACCTCTGTGTTGAGAACACCATACCCACCAGGAAAGTACGGTGTTTCTCCAACAGCAAACCTTGGGTGACGAGAGGGGACAGGGAGTGGGCCAACGAGCTGAATCTGTTCTTCAATAGATTTGACTCTGCTCCCACTCCTCCCCCGACTCATCAAACCAACGACCCGTCTGCTGCTTCTTCTTCACACCACCTCAGTTCTATGGCACCGGCATCATCATCATCCCCCCCCCCCCGCCACTCATCCTCCACCAACCCCTCCAGCACCACCCCCAGCCTCTCCATAACAGCTGACCAGTTGAGAAGTAAGCTGAGGAAGATGAAGCCAAGGAAAGCCACGGGTCCTAATGGCATCAGCTCCAGACTCCTGAAGGACTGTGCATTCCAGCTCTGTGAGGTGCTACTGCACATCTTCAGCTTGAGCCTGAGTCTGGAGAGGGTCCCAGCACTGTGGAAGACTTCCTGCGTGATTCCTGTCCCCAAGACAGCACACCCCAGGGAGCCCAACCACTTCAGACCTGTGGCCTTCATCATCACAGCTTGTCTCTCATACATAGCTACTGTGCAAATGCTGGTTTCAGGAAATAGAGAAAACTCCTACAAATACAGTGAAAAATTTGGCTTCAAATTCACACAATGATGGGAGGTGCAGCCAATTTGTCCACAATATATACAGTCTATGGTTTGGATCAAAAAGTGTCCATGAATACAGCCAAATAATGGCCTAAGCCAATGTACTTCTGTCAACTGTTACTATGGCAACAAGAGGCTCCTCAGCATTTTTCAAACCTGCCTCTAGAATTCCAGGGCTTTGATATGTCACAGTGACACATCAAAGCTCCTCAGCATTTTTCAAACCTGCTTGTAGAATTCAAGGGCTTTGATGTGTCACAGTGACATCATCATCAAGGGCAACGACATAGACTGATCAAAACTCCGGCAGTACACAGAAAAGTTTCATGACCATCCGCTCTTTCTGCAGCCCAACAGACTCAGAATAAGCTGATCTTCATTCCATCATTCATCCCTATACTTCGAGAAAAATCACGTCATCATGGGCAGTTTACCCTCAACCCTCTACAACCCCACCGGGTCGAACTACACTCAGCTGAAAAGGCTTGGATCTGGAAGCTTTGGGGTTGTACTAAAATGTATCAATGAGGACACCCGAGAGATCGTCGCTGTAAAGATCCAAAATGCTGACAGAAACTTTAAAAATGAGTATAACATGTTGAATTTCCTCATGACTAAAAACTTGGACGAGAAGAACATCGTCAAGTTTATTGAAATGTTTCCACTTGAGAACAACAAGTCAGCCTTAGTGTTTGAGTTGATGGATCGGACTCTAAGTGATCATATCAAAATGACACACATCTTCACCTCAACCCTTCTGGATCTGGCCAGCATCAGGAGCATCATCCATCAGATGGCCATAGCCTTGGATGCTCTGAAGACCAACAAAGTGATCCACTCAGATATCAAGACGAACAATATCATGGTGCTGGATCGTGAAGAGCAGCCTCTAAAGGTTAGGCTTATTGACTTTGGATTGGCTATTCCAACCAGGTTAGCGAAGCAGGGCTCTAGAGTACAAGTTCCACCCTGCAGGGCTCCAGAGATTATTTTAGGACTGCCATTTTCAGAGTCCATCGACATGTGGTCTCTTGGTGTGGTGATGGGGTACATGCTGACTGGATACGTATTCTTTCCATCAGATGTGGAACATACAGTTCTGCAATACATGGTGGAGCTTCTCGGTGCTCTTCCAGACAATATAGATGGTGGGATGTTTACCAAAGTATATTGCAAAAAGACCCCATCTGGCCAATGGAGGCTGAAGACCCCTGAGGAGTGTTTTGGTAGAGGTGCGGCGGCTGTAGACAGAAGGCGCTACCGTTTCAGAAACCTGGACCAGCTGGAAAGACTAACCCACCTTGCTAACGAGGACAATGATGAGAAGAAGGCGAGCATCGACCTTTTGAAGGCCATGCTTCAGATGGATCCCAGCAAAAGGATCACCCCGAGCCAAGTCCTTGCCCATCCGTTCATCACCAGAGGAAACTTCCAGCAAAGCTCCAACCTCAGCAGCAGCGGAAGTGACTTGAATGAACAGACACCCTTATTGAACCAGGTTAAACCTGCTCCCCCCAAACACTGCCTGAAACTGGAAGAAAACTCAGAAGATGAATTTGTGGAGCTAGAAAAGAGAGCTCCTCTTTCCCCATATTCCTCAGAGGACAGTGACACTAAAGAGAACCCCAGCAGAAGCAGAAGTGGCTTGAATAAACAGACCCCACAGACACCCTTATTGATCCAGGTTAAACCTGCTCCCCCCAAACGCTGCCTTAAACTGGAAGAAGACTCAGAAGAAGAACTTGTGGAGCTAGAGATGAGACCTCATCTTCCCCGATATTTCTCAGAGGACAGTGACACTGAAGAGAAGCCCAGCAGCAGTAGAAGTGGCTTAAAAAAACAGACCCCACAGACACCCTTATTGATCCAGGTTAAACCTGTGCCCCCTGAACGCTGCCTGAAACTGGAAGAAGACACAGAAGAAGAACTTGTGGAGCTAGAAACGAGACCTCGTCTTCCCCTATATTTCTCAAAGGACAGTGACACTGAAGAGAAGATCTCAGAGGACAGTGACACTGAAGAGAAGACCTCAGAAGACAGGACCGTCTCCTCAGGTGACCCAGCTCCAGATGAGAAGACACAGAAGGAGGAGAAGAAGAAGAGGAAGAAGAAAGGTGGAAGCTGTCTGGTCCGATTCGGTCGGTGGCTGCGGAAGAAGCTCTGTCGCTGCACTGCAACTGTGCATGCCACCGACTGAATCTCTCTGGGAGAGTTTTTGCGGCGCCTCGCCTGGAGGATCTCATACGTGGAGTGGGGCCTGACGCCAAAAACCCACCGGACCTCTGTTCCTCACGTTCTGTCGGCGCTGTGCTCCACCTCGGGTCGACGGCATGCGCCGTCGCTCACTAGCAGCGTGGCAGCAGTGGAGCAGCCGCCTAGGGCTGGTGCTGCGCTGCTGTTACGCTGCTGGTAGGCCGTGGCGTGTGCTGTTGGCCTCGGCCGGAGCGTAGCGCTGACAGAACGTAAGGAACATGCTTTCGGGCTTTAGGCTTCGCTTCACGTGTGGGGTCCTCCAGGTGGGTAGCTGTGCTGTTGCAACTCTCTCAGATCTTTCGGACGACACGGTGGCCTAGTGGTTAGCACGATGGCCTCACAGAGATCAGACTCGCATGTTCTCCCCGTGTCTGTGTGGGTTTTCTCCGGGAGCTCCGGTTTCCTCCCACGTGGCCAAAAACATGCATAAGCAGGTTAATTGGCGCATAACATTAAAAAAAAAAAAAAAAAACTGGCAGCGTGGCAGCAGTGGAGCAGCCGCCTAGGGCTGGTGCTGCGCTGCTGTTACGCTGCTGGTGGGCCGTGGCGTGTGCTATTGGCCTCGGCCGGAGTGCAGCGCTGACAGAACTTGAGGAACATGCTTTCTGGCTTTAGGCTTCGCTTCACGTGTGGGGTCCTCCAGGTGGGTAGCTGTGCTGTTGCAACTCTCTCAGATCTTTCGGACGACACGGTGGCCTAGTGGTTAGCACGATGGCCTCACAGAGATCAGACTCGCATGTTCTCCCCGTGTCTGTGTGGGTTTTCTCCGGGAGCTCCGGTTTCCTCCCACGTGGCCAAAAACATGCATGAGCAGGTTAATTGGCGCATAGCATTAAAAAAATAATAATAATTAAAAATAAAAATACAAATAAAAACTGTCTCGTGCTGGTGGTAGGAAATGCGTGTCTCAACTACAGCTTTCACTACACAGCAGCAGGAGTTGGTTGGGCTTGACGTGCCGGGACAGCTTGTACACGACCCCGAACCTGTCTGGTCTCACGTGGTATGAGACTGTAATCCATTGCCTGGAGGACAAAAGGTTAGGGGAAGGGGACTAACAAACCAACTCCAAAATACACTTGAAACCAAAAATGGTGGAAAGTTGGGCTTGGGGCTAGCAACTCCAACTCGTAAAAAATCGCATATGCTATAGAAACCCACTACAAACACACTACTACAGCAAGAGCCTAGTCAGAGAGATTTCTCTGTAAAAGAGCCCATGACGTGTGCAGGTCAAAACCAAATGGAAGCCAGCTCACCGAAGAATCTACTGAAGATGAAGGCAAAAACCAGGATACAAAACCTGGAACATCAGAACCTTGTATGAGAGCAGCAAATCAGCCCAAGTGGCAAGCGAAATGAGGAGATAAAATATCGCACTCCTTGGTTTAAGCGAATCACGATGCAACGGAAGTTGCCAAACCAGACTGACTTCAGGAAAGACCATCATCTACTCTGGCCATGAAGACCTGGGCCATGACCACACCCAAGGAGTAGCGCTGATGATGACACCAGAGGCCACAAAGGTGTTGATGGCGTGAGCCAAAACTGTACACACTTTGATTTGATTTGATATCTGGGTAAGGTGGTTAATGGTGTGGTAGGTGAAGTATTGTCTAACAGATCTGAATTGAAACAATGAGATTGAAATCACAAAATGTCTGTGGCGATCATGATTCCAAATATTATATAACTTTTGATTAAATTCATAACTTTTGATACATCCAGCATGATGCAATCAAAGTCTGAAATTAAGCTGCTATTTTTTGAATGATGCTATTTCGTCCCTTTAGGCACACCACAGTTAGGCCGCTGAATCTTGCTGTATCCTGCTGCTGCCATGATGTGAAATAACACCACCGTTCTTTTGAACATATTTCACTTTTTAAGAGACACAGATGGCTACATTAATAAGCAGAAAGTCAAAAGCTCTTCGTGGCAAATGGATTAAAATATCAGAAAAGTACTTAACTAAGCATAGAGGTGCAGCGAATTATACTGAATCCAGCAGAGGACCCCATATGAAGCCAAGTGTGTGGAGTGTGTGTGAATGAATAAGTGACTGAGCGCCCTGAGAGTGGTAGCAAGTCACAGCAGCTACTCACAGTGTTTACGTTTTTGCCTTTTTATTGTTGTTTTTTTGCACGTTATTTGTCTTTTTTTTCAATTAGCAGTGTTGCGTTTTGCATGTTCCAACCATGGATGTGCATTTCATGACTCTAACACTTTGTTTTCTTCTAATTTTTGGAGTTTTTAAGTCCGCGTCTGGTGACCCGTTCAGCGGCTCTATTGTTTACAGCCGTGAACAGCTGTTGGCGCTGCGCCAAGCCCGGCCACCTTCGTGGGAGAGACCAGACATCCCCGCCAAGCTCCGCAGGAGAAGGAGAGGATGCAGAGCCGGAGTTCAGCATCGGGCGAAGCGGTGACGTTATTAACCAACTGTCCCGTCCATTATCATGGACGGAGTAACTACTTTGAGGTCTCTCCCCAACAAGATGGAAGAGCTCACTGCGCTGACTCGGCTGCAGTGGTAGTACCGGGAGTGCAGCCTCATGACGTTCACGGAGTCATGGCTGAATGAACTTACTCCAGACTCGCTAGTAACTTTGGACGGATTTAATGAAAGAAAGACAAATGCTAAATTAGCTGAAAGTTGAACAAATTGTATAAATCCCATTTATTGTTTCGCAATACTCACTATATCGCAAAATGTTAAAAAATCTCAAAGACATCGTACTTGGCCAAAGTATCGTGATAATATCATATCGTGGGGCCACTGGTGATTCCCTTCCCTAGTGCTAAAGTACTCCAGAGGCTGCTACTTCACCGGTTACTTTCTCCAAAAGGATTTGTGTAGTTTTTGTACATCAACAATATACTTAGCTATGGTGCCACAGACAGTGCATGAAGTATAGTAAAAATGCGTGCAACCTCAGTCTGTGAGTGATAGCATTCTCTTAAACCAACCAGTCATAGTAACACCATGAACACCTGGATTATCTAACAGGCCAGGGGTTGAAGAGGTGAGAAGCGGGGGGGGGGGGGGTTCATATCAATGCGTGAGAAATACAATGTGTGGCGTGTGAGCGTGTGAACGGGTGGGAATGCGTGTGTCACACGCTGAATGCGTGAGACTTGAGAGCCCTGCAGAGCAGTAAACGCGAGACGCCGGCTTTCGCTATTTTAGATGGCTCAAAACCATTACGTTTTAATGAATCAATGAATAACATCAGCGGCGAAAAGGAGTGTTAAAAAGATCAGGGTTCACATGTTTTTATTTTGTCACAAAAAGCTTCAAGCATGGGCCAAAGCATAGGACAACAAGTTCTAGAACCTGAATGAAGTCATTAAAGACACACGCTTTTGAATCAGTCAAACGATAAGGAAAACTTGGATTATTTCGCCTAGTTGTGTACTTTCAACCGCGCTCCCGTCAGGGGGGCATTCTACGGCAGGGGTGCGTTCTACGGCACAACACCGGCGTGGATAAGTCCTGCTTCTCGTTCTCGCAGCTTTTGCAATGTATCCACAGGCTCTCCAATCACTCCAAGTACACGTTAAGAGTGTGCGCATGATTGGAATAATGGAACGCAGTTCTGCCTGTGATTGGTTCTCGTCAGCGAAGCAGCCAGGAGGATTTGCTGACCGTCCAAGTGTCATTTAAAGGGCCGATTTCTGAAGTGCTCAGTTTACGAATTGAGTCAATCACATGATAATAATAATAATAATAATAATAATAATAAAAAAAAAATCTCCCGACCCCGACCCCCCCCCCCCCCAAAAAAAAAAAATTTCTCCTCGGATCTACACGATTCACGTAGGTCACCCTTTTCGACTTCAAAACGGCGAATTTCGCCGAAAGGTGAGAGATTTTCATGCCTGATCTAATCCAACAGCTTCATCATAGATTCCTCTTTTACAAAGCTTATAAATGTTCAGTTTTTCATGACATGATCAGGCAGGTGATAATTACATTCCCTGCCTATCACTGAAGACACAGTAAGAGGTGCTGGTGGTGTACTGGATTGTTTTATTTTGGCCACTTCATTCACAAACAAGCCCTTAGTATCTTGAAATCATTCTTGTAATTCTTATAAGAGCATTGCTAAAGATGCAAACACTGGGCTAAACCATAGAGCACACTTTTCTTGACCTTTTTGGAAGGATTGAAAATATTTCATTAATCCAAATCTCATGGGAACGGTTCTACTTCCACTATAGCAATCTTTTGTGCTGTGATCATGAGACAGCACCCAGATTCGTTTCTCATGATGTCACTACAAAGCTTTTGCACACTTTTTCTCTTCAGGAAGGTGGAGTTCTGTTCATTTTTCATAGTGATCATCAAGGAGGTCCTACAAAGAAAGCATGGAAACATATGGAGGCTTTAATGTGTAATTATGCTGGTATTCTCTTTTTACTTCTCGCCAGCTTTCCAGAGTCTGCTAACATGTGAGAAAATGAAGACTTTGATGTATTCTGCCATAATCCCTCATGTTCAGGCCGAACTCTTTTCATTTAATTCCACGGCAGCCAAATCTTTTCTGGCCACTGAAGGCATATGGAAAGATTAGTCCTGCATCAAATGAAGTTTGATTTATGACTCTGTGGTCATCATTCGGTTTAAGTTACCCAGACTGATTCCAAGATGTGCTGAAAGCTAAATGATGGGATTACATTCCCGACTCAGATCTGGAAAAAGCAGAGACCCTGGCCAGGGATAAGCAATAAGTCGCTCTCATGGGTTGCACACACGGGGCGCATACACTAACACACACATAATGCTCTTATGACCAGATCAGCTCAATTTAACACCATTTAACATTTTATCCTTCTCTTTAAAAACCACTTTCCACTTCACCGACATATAATCAACACATTTAAAGCTACAGGCACAGTAGACAGTGAGGCCCAGCACTTTTGTGTGCAGACTGAAGAGTAATGGAGCATGCAGACAGGGATAATGATGGCAGTGGGTGGGTTGAAGCCCAGGCGGAGACATGAGAGGATCCATTAGGTCAATCTGATTGATTCCCTTTTCCTTCTCCTATCTGCTAATCCTCCAAGACAACAACATATGGCTGAGTGACAATAATACCACAAACCTGTCTACACTCAACTTTCACCTTAAGCTCTCCCACACTGACCAGTAACCTCAGATTACTACTGTGCAACAACATGTCAACATATTACGAAGGACTCCACTTGGTCAAGCCAAAAATATCTCGACTTAAGTTCACTTGACAATTTGTGTTTACATTTTCCCTAGTCTGAACGGACAAGTAATAACCTTTCTGGTTTAAAACTGTCTGTAGGAGCTCATTCATAAAATGAAGCCCTGGCTTAAAGCCCCTGAGAGATTTTTGCTGTTCATGAGGCTGATTGAAATTTACAGTGATGCCTCTACATGACCTATAAAAGCAAACTCAACATACAAAGACTGGCAACTTCTGTACAGTGATAATTTTAGGACTGGTACCGCCGCAGTGGGTAAGGTGTCAGATGAAACAGTTTATAGCATGGAGGGAAAACCACTTTTCTTCGGCTTTTACTACAGCAAGTATTAACAGTTTGTGTTACATTTAACCTCCTCTGACAAGATAACCAAAGACTGCTTCGTCTACAGGGGACGCCAAAATTCACACAAACCAAGAGTTCCTCACAGGAGCTTTAATTATTGATATGTGTAAACAAAAGCTTTAAAAGTTGGTAATGGGTATGGACAGATATAAGCTTTAGAAGTTAGTTATCATGGGCTATGACGGAGTATTAGGGCCACATTAAGAAAATGAAATTTAAGACTTTGAGATTAAAGTCATTAACTTAAGAGAATAAAGTCATTACTAACAAGAGTAAAGTCGTAATTAAGTAATTACTCATGAAAATAAAGTCATACTAAAATCATTACTTACGAGAATAAAGTCAAAATAAGTCCTTGTATTCTAACCTGTTGTTTAAAGGTGACAGTTGTTGAAATGAGAGCCATGGAGCATTTTGTGAAAATGTTCTTCAATAAAGGTCTCTCAAACCGAGATACTTCATCTTTTTTTGGCACATCAGCACCACATTATCATAGCCTATCATAATGATTTTATTACGACTTTATTCTCATAAGTAATGACTTTAATCTCAAGGTCCTCAATTTTTTTTCTTAATTTTGGCCCTAATACTCTGTCGTAATGGGCAGATATAGGCATTAGAGTTAATTATTGGTATGTACAGATATAAGCTTTAAAAGCTAATTATCAGGATTGGGCAGAAAGGAAAACATCTGTGAATATTGATGACACACTAATTATGTCCATATAGTGACAGCTCTTGTGCTCCAACATTAGGCTTTGACGTGTTGAGTGTAAGTGTTGAAAACAGAAAACATAACTACTACCTGTGATGCCTTTACTGTACGGTTGACAAGAGTGCAGCAAAACTACATTAGTTTGACACCACTAGTTTTATTGTGTATTAAAAAAATCATCATCCTGAAGCACCAAAAGCTTCTGAAAACTAAGAACAGCATACAACAGGCAAATTTCCTGTCCACAGCCTTCCTTTTAGTCTTAAGGATAAAAATATGACCACCCAAAGGTTGAAGAGCTTAGAGCGTTTGTTCATCGCTCTGAAAATACCGGCCTTTTAACTTTGCTGCCTTCTACAAGCTGATGTATCGTATCAGCAAAAACTAAAACACCTTCATCCGTTGTTTTAACAAACTGTTCAACAGAGGTAATGAACATTTCAAAGGACAAAGCAGCTTGAAAATGCCATTAAGAAAATTGTCTGATCACGTTGCAGGTCAATAAACTCTAAGCTTTGTTCAAAAGTGATGGTCAGGCAAACACTGCAAGTTTATTCTAGGCTGTGACTATAAGATTTGATATCAGACATGCCGGGGTCTTATAATACATTATTTATCATATCTAAAAGAGACATATCAAATCTGTATCCATCAGGGCAGATTTTACAATCCCAGTTCAGTTGCTGTTTCAGATCTTAGAGCCAGGGGCAGAAGGAGTAGTGACTTGCCGCTGAGACAGAACATGCGGCACTGACTGGTTATTGTATTATTACAGAACACCACCCACAAAAAAAGACTATAGTTAGAATGACCCAGCTCTGCTACCCCTGGGACAGGAGTCTGCACTCCCTCCGCCCACCTACCTACTCCCTTTATTTTTCACTCCCTCCACCCGCTGTTACTCAATTCCTCTTTAGCCCTGTTGTGTACAGCCTCCTGAGCTGCCAGGGAGTGTCAGAGATGATGGAAAACAGATGGAAGAAGACAGAGATAGTAACAGAGGGTACTATCCTGCTGGTAACAGTATTACATAAGTAAAAAAAACTCAGATGACAGAGAATAATCCAGTGGTTTTCAGTGGTGATGGTGCTGATATTTGACTGGTTATCAGTGTCTACCAATCAGGTGTTAAACCTTGATGAAAAATATTTGTTTCTCTTATTTAAAAGTCAGTGAATCAATGTGTCAGAAATGGGAAAACAATCAGCATTAGGGCTGAAACGATTACTCGAGTAACTCGAGTAACTCGATTAATAAAATTCCTCGAGGCAAATTATATGCCTCGAGGAATCGTTTAAATCCGGAACCATGTGCAGCGCACGGTGTTTGCGCTCCTTCCGCTGCCGCGCGTTTGGTTCAATCATGGAGGGAAACGAGGACAGACAGAGAGAGGAAGAAAGAGATGACACGCAGAGGAAACGGCAGAAAGTGTCTTAAGTGTGGGACCATTACACACTGAAAAGGAAAGAAAACGCCGTGCAGTGCGTTCACTGTAAGGCGGAGTTGGCGTTTCACAACAGCACGTCGTCAATGCTGCAGCACCTTAAAAGAAAACACCCGGTCCATGCATTAAGTCCGCAGAGCGGACTGGCCACAACAAGGTAATGTTCACGATACTAAGCAGTTGCAGTTAAAACAAATCAATGTGATCAATAATCAAGAATAAGTCCAGTACATAATGTAATTTAATTTATGGCGCTGTCTAAAGGCTGCTTCACAGTGTAAATAAAAATGTAACACTTTTATATATTGAATAAATATACATTTGCTTGTCAAATTATGTTAGTATCCAAGAATTATATTATTTCAGCCTATTAATTAAACAAGTAAAATTAGATCCAAAGCCTGGAAATAAACATTATGACAGCAGTAAAGGCATAAATACAGTAAAGAGAGATAACTATGAATACAAATACTACTACTTCTACTACTACTATTAATAATAATAATAATAATAATAATAATAATAATATAAAAATAACCAAAACTAAAGGCTTGCTAAAAAAAAAACTAGATATGACTCTGATAAAAAGAGAACTGCAAGAACAATATAAACAGAACTAACTAAAAGTTAAAAAAATATTTCCACCATCAAATAAATGTGCATGGGCTAGTTGAATTATCTTAGTATATAAGTGTATATATATTTTTTAGAAATTAAACAAGATTAATTAGATCTGCAGTATGGAAATTAGCGTTTTCTTAGCAGCAAAGGCTGTGAATAGACATAAGAATGAACTCAATTAATATGAATACAATTAATACAAAAATAACCAAACTAAAAAAAACTTACTAAAAAGCAAGATATGGCCCAGAGAAAACAAAGAGAACTTAAGAAACAATATAAATAGAACAAACTTATAAAAAACTATTTACACTATTGGATTAATGTGCAATAACTAGCTGACTTATTGTAGTATCTGAGTATGATATTATTTTTTTTAGTAATTTCGCAAGATAAGTAAAAGCCAAATAAAATAACCAAACTCAAAACTTTACTAAAAAAACAGGATAATGATCCAGAGAAAAATAGAACTTCATAAACAATATAAACAGAACAAACTAAAAAAAAGTTATAAAATGTTTACACCATTAGACATATGTTAATATCAATATCAATTGGACTCTTTTTCAGTTCTTCAAAGAACCAAACTCTGGACAGCTTTGTGCGGCGACTTCCACCGTGTTCAACCGAGCAAGCAGCTGAGTTCACCGACAGTATTCTAAACATGATTGTCTCAGACATGCGCCCGCTTTCCATGGTGGAGGATGAGGGATTTCAGAAGATGATTTGTTGTGACTGGTTTAGTGAAAACTGCAAAGATCATTACCATAGCAATTAAAAGACCATCTGCAGACCTTGCCTTCAGTAGTTTCATGTGAACTACATGGTAAAATGTAAAACTTTTGGTTCCTGATTTATGCAGTAAAAATATTCATTTGAAAGACCTGGCCTATTTCAGTTTTGTGTGTTACTGATGGTTTTTAATGAGGCAAACGTGATTCAATGCAAAGTATTACAGTGAGAGCAAAACATTTCTTATCCGATTACTCGATTAATCGACAGATTAATCGATAGAGTACTCGATTACTAAAATAATCGATAGCTGCAGCCCTAATCAGCATGTTGTTCATTCACTCAAAAATTTCTCTCCCGCCAGCTCTTGTACAAACTTGGCAAAAGCCAGGCAGGAAGTGGGGTGTTTCTCCAACCAACACACATCTTGATTTGTATACTCCCCTGTTCTAGCCACACGCTTGAGACACACACACACACAAAGCATTATTATATAATGAGAACAGTTTTCAAATGAGTGCCCTGCCTCTCAGCTCAGCAATAGCTGCAGTGTGAATAATACAGGTTCAAAGAGGCTGACACTTTCACGCCTTTGTTACAACTACTGACAAGCTGCTATTCACTACCATGGATGCATTACACTGAGGGTGAAACTAGGCGCTTACAGCCAGGTTTCACTCTCTAGGGAAAGGTATTTAGGTTACACAAATACTATTTGAGGAGCCTGTTTATCTGCAGCATTAGTGCAGTAAGCAGTAACTATAAAAATGTTGTGTCAGCAGTCAGTCATCCCTACCTGCCTCAGGGTTTCATGAGGGCCACTCGCCTTTAGGCTTTAAAGAAAGGAGAAAAAACACACTCCGCATGTATGCAGACGTCCTCTTTAAGATGAGGACCACACCCATCATTCAAGAGTGAGCCTTTGCTGGTCAAACTACCTCTTTTAAACACCCACATAATCTCTCACATAAGCTCCCAAACAAGGAGTGTTTCAGTGACAGTGACCTTGCACCTATCTGACAAGTAGTGCTGTTGTTTAAGCCAAAGCCTCTCCCATTACCCTTTACAGTGGTGAGTCATACCACCAAAACTATGTCCCTAAAGCACAGAAACTCTTGTCTATGTCAAACAAACAAACAAACAAACACAGACGATAAGGATGTCTTTTTGGTGAAACGTACAGGGATGGGCAGCTGAGATTACCTCATTAAACAGTGAACATTTATACAAACAGCTAATTTCATTGATCATATTAAATCAATAATCATAAACCTGACAGACTCCAGTCACTTATAACCATGTGCTGCGTCAATTTAAGGCTGTGTATTTTTTTTAGTGAGGGTTACCTGGTTTGAGTAGTTTCATCCATCTCCTCTGATCACCGCAGGCTACAGGCTGCCGCTAGCTAACCCTCACTTGACATGTTTATGATTACTATGCTGTCAGTAAACATGTTGTTACTTGTAATAATACCCTAAAGGAAAAGCACCGCGTATTAGCGAGGAATTAGTGAAAGCCAGACAAAGCGCTTTAACTGACATTAACTTCAGTAAGTGAGCTATGTTTGTCGTATGCAACAAGACTGGAGAGAAACACCCCGATGACATGTTGCAGCTAACGCGCTAACCCTTAAGTTGCTAGCCGTTTAGCTAAACCAGTCAGCTTTACAGCACATAAGTGGGTGACAATGTGAAAAACAGCACAGCTACACAGCCCAACGAACACAGACGGCTATCCTTAGACATAAGAGTTATTCGTTTCTTACCTGAGGTTTACAGGACCTAACTAGGGAATCTCCAAATAACGTCGGTCTTCCCAATGAATACGATGTCTTCAGAGGTTGATATCTCACTCCAACCAAGGGCGGTAACACAGGAAAAGAGAGTCCGAGGTTCGTCTGAACGACGTCTGGATGAACCAATAGAAAGAGGGGACCATATGCGAGAGCCAATGAGGTTTCTTTACCCGCCTCTCTTGCCAAGAGGAGCCAATCAAGTGAGACATCGGGAAGAATAAGATAAAATAAAATAAAATAAAATAAAATATCTGAGCACAATGGAATCTTAAAACCAAAAATGATTGAGGGCCATTTCAGATATTAATACTTGCATAAGACAGACATTACCCATGTGGTGAACTATGTATGACACATATCTGTATGTTATGACATCAACATGGTAACTAACAAACTCCATTTGCTGTTTGAGTTATCAAAAAGCAGTTTAAATAACCCAAATCAAATACTAATTGGTCCTTAAATTGAAATTTAATTTGTCAAGCTATTTAACCCACCCACCAGTGTGTGTCCTCCACTGGTGTATGATTGTGAGTGTTGTGAGGTGGTGGTCAGAGAGGCCATAGTTGCAAACTGGCAGCCACGTTTCCATCAGTCTGCCCCAGGGCAGCTACTACTGAGGTAGTTTACCACCACCAAGGTGTGGCTGTGTGAGAGAATGTATGACGTGTCCATTGTAAAGCGCCTTGAGGGTCTCTGATAAAGCGCTATATGAAATCTGATGCATTATTATCATTATTATTATTATTATTCTATACACTTCCCAATAATGTTGGTACAAACAAAATAAAATACTTAAACATGAATTTCTATCAGAGGATAAGTCACATTGATGTCTGTAATATATCTATAATAGGTTTGTATTTTAGATGTAGGCCTCTACATATTAGTGTAGTGTTGTACGGAGAGAGAGCAAAGTCTACAGGAGCCAAATTCCTTGTACATGAACACAAGCCTGACTAGCAAAGCTGATTCTGATTGTAAGTGTAAATAAGAATGTGTCAGGTCAAGGTGATTTTACAAACAAAGACCAGGTCAACTTAATATATGCACACAAATGGAAAATTTTATCCAAACAGAAACATTGTTATGTCTTCATACATTGTCTGCATAACATAGAAAGATAACCTGCGATAAAACAATCTTACTCTTTTTGTCACTACTTTCCTCTTTCATATAAATACATACAATGACGAACCCAGTGTAAAATGAAAACGTTGTCGTCCTCTAAATTGTACGGATCAGGGAGAGATCATCCTTCACAGTGTGTTATACAATGGCAGGAAGATTGAATTTCATACACCCTCTCTGCTCACATTATGTCCACTGTAATAAGATGCCATGCATGTCACACAGAAACTCAACGATGAGATGTGGGTGCTGAAAATGATCCAGTTTCCCTTTTGTAAAAATCAGTTTGGATAATCTGTTAAATGGATTACAGTGTACTAAAAGGAATCTCCATTACTGTGTTTTCAAATTATTTTTGCACCATAGAAGAACATATTTGTCAATCAATATTGGCAGATGATGAAACCAGGGTTTGAAACTGGAAAAACAATAAGTGGTCAATATGTTTTATTTTTTCTTGGATTTGTATTTTTGTAGATTGGATGGATGATTGGCTGCTGATTAAGAGGGCTGTCCAGCAACAGATGCTCTGGATAGAAGCAAGCGTAAATAGTGTAGTTGATCAGGATTGAGGGGACAATCAGACTCTTCTTTTGCCATGTCAAATAAAAGCATCACTGACCCCGACTACTTTTGTAGAATCATAACACTTAAAAAAATCCACAGCTGTTTAAAGGTGTATTTTGAGTCTTAAATTTGAGTCTTACATTTGACATTGTTATTTGTGGTTCCTATTTCAAATGTAGCATCATTACACTGCTAATGTATGCAATAATATCACATCACAATCAGAATCAGATCGACTGGCAAGTAGGTTAACATGCACAAGGAGTTTGCATTGGTGTTTTTGGTATAAATCACTCAGCACAGCAGTACAGTTGAGCAGGATTGTGCTACATGATGGTGTACAAAAAGTTATGAAATAAAACCCAGGAACATTGTGTAATGTGAATGGATTAAATTGGTGGATTGAATGAGGCAATACATGGACTACATGCATCTGGAAAATTCTTTTTCATGGTCTTAAACTAGTTAATACAAGGGATATAATAGATAATGTCGTACTTGTGCTTGATGACTCTTCATAAATGTCATGAAAAAGACAAACTGCCATGACAATCAATTATCAATATATTTGTAAAAAGTAAACTAGCTGAATATGTTTGTCAAACATGAAAATATAGTAGGATTTTTTTGAAGTAGAAGTCTTACAGGGTTGAGCTTATAGACTATACAGTATGTACTACAGTCTATGGTTGAATCATAGTATACAGTATTATCTGTTGTATATAGCGTCACCGCGTGGCCATTTTGCGCCCGTACATCATTAGCTTGAACCGGAAGGGGAAACCTCTCCTCATAGGTCATTTCCTGCGGCTCATTTTTTTCTCCCTCCTGCAGTTCGGAAAAATGGCGGACATGGATGAATTGTTCGGGAGTGATGGGGACAGCGACAATGAACAGAGAGGTAACTTCATGTCTTAGCTCTTCAAAGATATCTTTATCAATATACTGACTTTATTTTTTCCACAAATTTTGACAGAAGTTTTCTTTGTTTTGCTCGGGAGTAGAGGAACCTTACCGTAACTGACGTGTAAATCTCTTCCGTGAATCTACTGTAAATTCATGTTAAATATTTATTTAATTAGGGTGTTTTCTTTATGTTAACTTCATAAGAAATGTGTTTACATTATCACCGTTTCCCATTTCAAAAGCTTTTATTTCCATCTGTAGTTTGTGGTTCCTAACTGGTAGAGACAGCAGCATACGGCGAATAGATGAAACTCTTTAAGTTTCTGATTTTTTTAAAACGTGTTATTTCAGCTCAAATATTAAACTAATAAACACTAACAGTGCTTATAGAAAACTTTGTTTTACAATCATGTTTGTTTTATTTCAGTCAGCTCATGGTGTCAGTGAAACCTCACATCAAACCTTATCTGAGCCACTGCAGCCGTCTTAGATTAGAGTCTGTTTAGCGGTGGACATGTATTCAAACAAATCCTTTTACTCTGTGTTGGGAACACACACTGATCAGTCAGCCTGCTACCACACAGTCAGCCCCATACTCAACAAAAAGCCATGCACTGTTTGTTCGGACACTTTTCTATCAGAACCAGCAGGATGTTTTTCTGCTGGACTGGATCTCATGGGCCAACCTTAACTCCTCATACATACCAGTAAGTCTTGATCACTTTGGTATGAATCACTGGTGGGAGAAAAAAATCGATTCACATTAGTATTGCGATTTTTGGTTTCACAAATTTTTAAATCGATTTTTATGTTCAAAAATTGATTTTTTTTTTCAAATTTATCTTAAAAACTGACTTACATGTTATGAGTATTTTTTTTTCTGTAAATATGGTTCCTGGAATAGTCAGTAGACAATCATAATCATTAAACTGTTTCACTGGTGTTTAAAATGCAGACTAAAAGTTGAGCGAAGCGACAATATCGTAGAATTGCAAATTAAATCAAATCGGCATCCAAAAAATCGTAGAAGAATCAAATCAGGAGAAAAGCATTTCATCCCAGCCCTACTCTGTGTTAGATGGAAATCTGGAGATGCTGTGTCCCTGTTGTCTAGTCATCATAATCTGCATGTTGTGGAAGTCCTTGATATCCTTGCACTTTTGTATGTATCCTGCTTTCAGTATATCATCCTTGTGGACAGAAGAACCCCCAGTGTTTCCTCTGAGGGAGCCCTCGGCACCGGGAGCAGTGGTCGCTCGTGGTTGCAGGGGCCGGCGACGGGGTTCCTGGTGGAGGTTGCTGTCTGACACATCGCCCCACCGGCCCTGTGTCGGTGTCCTGTGGCTGTGGCTCTCTGCTCCTGGTGCTGACGGCTCCTCTAATGGCGCCTTCTAAACTGGTTCATCTGAACTCGGCCTCATGTCCACTCTCTTAATGTGTGTATGTGCGGGTGCATTGGCGTGTGTGTGTGTGTAGGCGGGGGGGTAAGAGGGCATCTCGGATAGTTTTTTGTTTTTGTTTTTAACAAGACTGTAAAGCACTTTGAGTCACATTCCTGTAGGAAAAGCGCTTTATAAATAAAGTTTGATTGATTGATTGAGGGTTCACTCGCTGCTTGTATCTCTTTAAAGAGATAATTAAAGCTAGTCACTTCACTCATTAGCAGGTATAATGTTATGGCTGATCTGTGTATCTTTCCATATGACAAAACCAGATAGATTATGCCGAAGCATTTTCTCAAACCCAGCAGTGCTGTAATCAGATGAATGAACTGTCAGTGTGTCACGCTGTGTTTTAATCATGACTGGTAATCAGAAATTGTGCCAGAGCACTTCAGAAACTGACAACTCTTAATATGCTTGATTGTTACTAAGCAACAACACTCCCCCGCTGTGAACTGATAGTAATTTGAAAACGAGTAAAAAAATTACACAACATCAAAAAGTCTTTTGTGTTTCAGAATCTGGCTCTGGATCCGGCTCAGACTCAGAACAGGAGAGACCTCGATCTGCCAGCAACGCCTCAGGGAGCGGCAGTGACAGTGAGAGGGAACGGGATGATGATGAAGATGAGGAAGGCCAGGAGGGAGGAAAACCCAGTATGAATAAGGTTTGTGGCCCTAAGCAGGTCCAGCAGTGTAGGAGGGACATCAGTCAGACATGCTCTGTGGTTAAGAAATCAAACATTTGATTGTCATTTTAATCACAGCTCAGCTCAACAACAAAGAGATAAAATCCATTCAAGATTCAAATGCTGCTTCAGCTCCCATGGTGCACAAATATAACAAAAATGTCTTCCATTCATATTTTATTTTACATCAGTTTTCATTTAGGTAACTCAAGACAAGTAACTCAAGACAATGAACAGAATGGCAGGAATCTCAGTTTATCACCACATCTACAGAAAAACAGAAGTCTTCTCTCAGAAACTCTGAAGCCAACACATGTTGGCTCACTCAAATCCATCCTTCCATGATTTCTTAGGTGTAATTTGATTTTAATTTAGCAGCATTGAAAATATGAGAATTTTGAGTTTGTGAGACAAGCTGAAATGGTCATATATTTGTAATTTATCTTTAAATTTCAGCACACAGTGTGTAAGTCGTGATTGATGAGTATGACAGTGATGGTAAATCTGAATAAATAAAGCGTAGAAAAAAGTTATTGCTGTCAGAAAGTAAGCCTTGATGTTATGAAGCTACTTTAGTATAAGTTATGTTTTCCCCAACAGCCCATCAACCGTTTTGCCTCAGGCGTCAGGGATCTTATAAAATCTGTAACTTGCACTGAAAAACTACAAATAGTGATTTTTTTTTAAACACCAGTTGAACTCCGTCTCTTTCTAAACTAAAGGAGCTGTTTGGAGACGACAGTGAGGATGAGCAGCACAGTCAGCACAGTGGCAGCGACAACCAGTCTGAACGATCAGGGAACCAATCGGACGCCAGCATGCACTCAGACCAGGGGGAGAATGACCACTCTGATGCGGAGCAGCACAGCGGCTCGGAGCGCGGACACCGAGATGAGGATGAAGATGAGGAGGACGGGGGGCACAGGTCTGACAGAGGAAGCCCAGCTGGCAGTGGGATGTCTGGAGCAGGAAGCCCTCGCTCTGAGCGGGGCAGCGTGCGCTCAGACAGAAGGTACAACAACAAGCACTGGATGTTCCTTGTAGTTAGTTAAACAACATAGGAAGCCAGATGGGCTGTTTTGTCTGTACTGATAGTTAAATATATCAGTGGCAATTTTTTTCTGTTTTCCCCTCAAACTGTGAAAAAGGCTCAAACTGCCATTATCAGAGTCTCACAATGCCTCATTCTGTTTGTTTATTGGAACCAACTCCCCAAATCCAATAAACAATGGTATAAACCATAGAAATACAGCAATACCTCACCTTTAAGAGGCTTAATGACTGTTAAGTGTGTTTTGTGTTTTCTAAATTAATTAAACCAATAATCAGTTTAAATTTCCCGTGAAATTTCAGCTGATCCTCCAAACCATTAAGTGACATTCACCGCATCATGAACTTGTGTTTTTGTTTACGAAACCTTGTGAATACAGTGATGACTAAGTGTTTGTTTTAAATCCAGTATACACAGTGACCCCCGTACCCCACAGTCAGGACCTGGTACACCTCACTCTGACGGAGAAGCTTCTGGCAGGGAGAACCAATCAGATGATGAGAAGTGGGGGGGAGGAGCTAAGAGCGACCAATCAGAGGATGAGGAGGAGAAACGCCGTTACTCTGATGAGGAAAGAGAGAATTCTGATGACGAGGGGCAGAGGAACAGGAAGTCAGGTACTCCCCTGAGTCTGGTGGAGGGTACCTGGATCATGAACCAGTCCTCATGTATTTTATAAGAGAGGATTAGAGCCAGAACTGAAGAATTTGTCCTGAATATTTATCTGAAAATTAAGTTTGCCTGAAAGATCCTTTTACAGTAACTGTCAGACGCTGTCATGTGTTTTGAAACTTTTGTTTTTTACCATGCTGCAAATATTTGATATGATGAACTTGATTTTAAATTTCATTTTGAAAATTTCTGTTTTCCAGAGTCGGCCAAGGGCAGCGACAGTGAAGATGATTTCCTCAGACAGAAAACCAAAGCAAAAGCTGCCTCCGATTCAGACTCGGACAGCGATATTGGAACAAAGAAAAGTAAGAAAGTGTTCACTTATTACCTTTTTTTCACTCTGCAAATATTACAGTTGGTTCAGAGTCAAAACTGGAATTTAAAATCTGAGATTTCAGCATTATAAGCTGCTTTATCAGGTACTAAAACACATTTCTTATTGTCTTTGAAGCAAAAACAACAGCAGCAGACGACCTGTTTGGAGAGGCAGACGACATCTCTTCTGACAGTGATGCAGAGAAGCCTCCGACTCCAGGACAGCCTCTGGTATCTGTCTGCTCTCTTGATCTCTGTCTCTGTCTTTGCCTCTTTAATTACCCCAAATCATTTTTTGTTCGGGTTCCCAAATCTTTTATTTCTTGAGCCTTTCCCTAAGCCTCTCAAAGATAATCCCCATTATCAAAGGTCAGACATATTTTTTAATACTCTTTTCTCTTTCGCTCTGTCCCCACCTGTGTGTGTGTGTGTGTGTGTGTGTGTGTGTGTGTGTGTTCAGGATACAGAGGATGGGATTGAGGGGGAGCAGGCAGAAGAAGAACCTGCACCTGAAACCCGAATCGAAGTCGAAATCCCAAAAGTCAGCACGGACCTGGGATCTGACCTTTATTTTGTAAAGCTGCCTAACTTCCTGTCAGTGGAGCCCAGGTCAGAACCTCAGCACTGTCCAGAAACTCTTTTTTTACATGATATGTGTGGACTTTGAAGATTTTGTTAAATGGTTGAGGACGAAGCTAAATTTCAGACACTTTCAAAATGATCAACTTTATTCTGATCCTTTCAATCTGAAGCTGTTTGAGAAGATTGTTCCAGGAGTTTGATTCTATTTTTAGGTATTCTGTATTATTTGTTGACACTTGATGACCCAAACAGTTGAAGTGAGGTTTTTAAAGAGAGACCTGTCTTTACCCTTTTTAGGCCTTTTGATCCTCAGTACTATGAGGATGAATTTGAGGATGAAGAAATGTTGGATGAAGAGGGACGGACGAGGCTCAAACTGAAGGTATGAAGGTTTTCTATGTGTAATTTTGCTTTGGAAATAAAATGTAAGCAGTATCATCTTCAAGACTTTGTAAAAGGTGCATGAGTATTGAAAAGATTTTATTTTCCTACTATGCAGGTGGAGAATACAATTCGGTGGCGAGCCAAGAGAGACGAGGAGGGAAATGAAGCAAGAGAGAGTAACGCTCGCATCGTCAAATGGTCTGACGGCAGGTTAGTGTTCTATCACTCTGGATATTTGAGGTTATTACACTGCGAACAGCTGCTTCTCTGTACTTTCTGTGCTTCTGAGACCTGTTTCCTGCCACAGCATGTCCCTCCACCTGGGGAACGAGGTGTTTGATGTTTACAAAGCTCCTCTCCAGGGAGACCACAACCACCTGTTCATCAGACAGGGAACTGGACTGCAAGGACAGGCTGTATTCAAAACCAAACTCACCTTCAGGTAACACTCCAACATGCCATTGTTGTATAGGTGACCGCCTGCTATATAAAGCCAGAGTCTGGGACATGCTTGGGAAAGAATGAGTTACCAGGGATACGCCTCCTCCTCCTCCTCCTCCTCCTCCTCCTCTTCTGTCTGGCTCTCTGACAGCCGTACATGCACTACATAAGCCCCAGGGTGCCTTTAATTCCAAACAACAACAATAGCAGCCTTCATTCAAGCTCCACTCAGAAGTGTACTGAGTAAGTCCCTGGATCACCTTGTGCAAGCTGGCCCTGGTTTCCTACCAGTGAGAACTGGTTAAGCCTCTTAGCGCCCCCGAGTCCACCTGGATGTTCTGTCTTCTTGGGACCACATGGGTCTAGTAGGAAAGTGGCCAAAGCTGCTTTGAAGCACTGCAGGCCTGTACACTCTCAGACAGGACATTACCATGTGTACTGATCAGGTCTGAGTTTGACAAGGTTTTAGACTGGATCTGCTGGATGTACTCGTGATTAGTGAAGAGTTATTTTTTAAGAGCAGACCGTAAAAGAACAGAAACACTTGAGCTGAAAGTTTATATTCACTAGCTGGTTAATCAATGAGGCTCCGATCACAATCAATTGTGTGATCTTCAGGTAAAAGTTCAGCTTCACCTGCTGCAAAACTACCTCAACTGGCCACTCCTTGTTTTTGGTGCAGGATCATGAACTCAGTATGAGATGAGAACTCAGATACTTAATTGAACTTCTCCTTGTTGAGTAATTTAAGCGTTTATTTAAAAATGACTTAGCTGAGGCGGACACAAACTTCAGCATCTATGCAGACAGAAACAGGATTAAAAAATGCTTATTTCACAGGAAGTGATGTTGTACCAAAACCAAAACAAATGTGATTAAATAAAAGCAGAAGGAAGATAAAGGACCTGCTCTGAGGGAACAGTATGGGGAAAACAGCTCAGCAGTTTTTGTTTTTTTGTGTTGGAGGTTTCAAGCCAGAAAGTGTAATGTGTGTGACCCTGTGTAGTTTCTCTCCCAACAAAGTTATGTTTACATTTAGCTGACTTCAGCAAAAGACATTGTGTACATCTTTGCTCCTTAAATATGGCCTCCTTCATACACATCACACTACAGCAGCTGATTTTTGACCTCACTCTTGTTTGTTTACACTGTAACTTCCTCTGTCAATCAAGACAAGCATGAAACTATTTGAATAAACACAAATTAGCTTTCCATACTGATCGTGTTCCTGCCAAAACTTGTAGCAATGTCAGTGTCTAGAAATGTACGTGTAAGTAAGTGTAGGTTAAGACTGGCAGGGCATGGAGCAATGTTGTTTTTGCCAATGTATTACACAAATGCATCAGTTTTCATGGTTAACGGGGCTTTTCTTGCACATTACCAAGAAATTCAGTTTAAAAACTAAAGCCAGGGATAAAAAAGAAATTCTGCTCAAAATCGTCTTAATGTTTTACGGAATGATTTGAAAGTGCTGTGGACTTTAACTGGATTTGTTGTTGCTGTTGTTGTTTTTCTTCATATTTCCAGGCCCCACTCCACAGACAGCGCCACTCACAGGAAGATGACCCTGTCCTTGGCTGACCGCTGCTCAAAGACGCAGAAGATCAGAATCCTTCCCATGGCCGGACGAGATCCTGAGTCGCATCGCAACGAAATGATCAAGGTAACACACGGTCTCGTATACACCCCCGTCCATCTGCCCCTGTCCTGTTTGTCTTTCCTGTGCCTAGCTGGAGAATGCTTTCGTTACCACGGAGACCGAAAAGGTCGCTCGGGGCCAGTTTGTGACAAGCATCTGGCTCGGTTACATAAAGTCAAACCCTGACATGCTTACATAATGAGGTCACACAGTGCCCAGTCCAATGGAAACAGTGTCAGCAAGTCAGAGGTGGGAAGGGGGAGGGGGCTGTGTATCTACTTTCAACCCAAACATGTTCTGCTGATAGCAAACTTTATAGTTTCAGGCACTCTGACTAACCATGAGGAAGATGTGGTGTGCTGAGCCTTTCTGATTGTAATGCACAAACAAGTTTAGCCATATGCCAGATTTCCCTCATGCTCACATTTTCCAAGAGACATGATTATCATCTCAACTTGTAAAGCATCCCCATAAATGCCACTACACAACATTTTATACCACACATTTCCAATCATGCTTGTCAGTGGCATTTGTGCTGGCACTTAACCACAACAGAAGCCAGAGCAGTTTGTTGTCTTTTGTTTGTTTCTCAATGAGATCTTGATCCCATTTGAAAGAGCCAAAGAGAGCTTATTTAGCTGGGGGGGATGACTGAGAGGGTTCTGACCAGGAAGCCTGCCCGAGTTGACAGACGGAGATCTGCAAACATTGAAGAGAAGTTTTAAGTTTAGTAAGGGCACCCGGGAGGTAAAGCCCCGGTTACATTGTGACTACTAAGGTAGTTTACCACCACCAAGGTGTGACTGTGTGAGCGAATGAATGATGTATCCAATTTAAAGAGCTTTGAGGATCTCTGATAAAGTGCTATTTGAAATCTGATGCATTATTATTATTATTATTGTCTTTTCAAGATTGGACTGTTATGTCTTTTTAAAAAAGTCACATAGGCACAATAATGTGGCAAAATGGTCCTGCCTCTGGAGCTACTAACAGAAGCAGAGCAAAGAGAGGAAGCAGGGTCGCTCATCTGTCCTCAGTTCATGTTTTGATACAGACACTTCGTTGCTTGAGTAAATTGAGTATATGTTAAAATTGCAGTCATGTGCAAAATACACTCTGGTTTCATAAACTGCTGTATATTTTCCGTAGAAGAGTCAAACAACCCTTCAACATATCACAGTGATTTTTTTTTTTTAATCTATTTTGAAAATTCTTAATTACCAGTCAGAAACACTGGTTTTCTGCAAACCACCTTCAAACGTGCTTCTACATACCATTAATTCTCACTGCTGTGTGTCGACCTGCAGAAAGAGGAGGAGCGTCTGCGGGCTTCTATTCGCAGAGAGTCCCAGCAGAGGAGGATGAGAGAGAAGCAGCACCAGAGGGGCCTGAGCAGCAGTTATCTGGAGCCCGATCGCTATGATGACGAGGAGGAGGGCGAGGAAGCCATCAGCCTAGCAGCAATCAAGAGCAAATACAAGGGAGGAGGAGGCCTTAGAGGTGAGGAAGAGTAGATATTTACCACTCACCTTCTCTCCTTAGTCTTATCATAAGTTTTTTGAGTCCCTGTAGCCGAATCAACATCCTGTTTTTTCCCCTAAACCAGAGGAGCGAGCGAGGATCTACTCCTCAGACAGTGATGAAGGCTCTGATGAAGATAAGGCCCAGAGGCTGATGAAGGCCAAGAAGCTTGACAGTGATGAGGTGAGTTTGGCCTTCTGTCTTTTAGTTTAAACATAGAGCTTTATCAGATCATCCTCGTTCAGTTGTCAAAGCCACTAATTTATGTAAAAGTGTTTCCTGCGGTATTTTTTAAATGTAACTTCTGATCACAGGTTTATGAATCCCCAAAATTTTCAAAAAACTAGCAGTGTTTTACAGCAAGTAACAACTTATTTATGATGACCACGTGACTTATTATCGAAATATGGTTATGTGCAGAGACGTGTCAAACTAATGCTCAACACACTGAAGTTAATCACAAACTCCAGCAGGAGCGATCAAACTGCCCCTAATTCAAACCCTGTTATGATTACGTCATTTTTGAGCTACCATTGTCTGTTTTAGATAGATAGATAGATAGATAGATAGATAGATAGATAGATAGATAGATAGATTGTCATTGTGACAAGCCCAATGAAATTAAAAAGTGGCTTCACAGTCAGTGCATTAAAAAAAGGGACAATAAAACATTAGACATCAAAAGAGTAAAACCTGTGCAGGTTTTAATGACATTAAAACTTTGTTTTTCTAGAAAGTTTTCATTCTTTCTAGTAAAAGAATTGAAACTACACCCATAAATACATAGGCAACACATCATCTGGCTTTCATGGAGGCATTGATGGAGCGGACAGGGTTTGGGAAAAAGCTGTTTTGCAGTTTTTTTGTCCTGGCTTTGATGGCCCTGTAGCGTCTGCCTGACGGTAGTAGCTCAAACAGGGGGTGTTCTGGGTGGGATGAGTCCTTAATGATGTAAGTGGCTCTCCTGAATTAGTAAGAGCCGTAAGGGTCCTCCAGTGTGGGCAGAGAGCACCCGATGACCTTCTCAGCCGTCCTAGTGACCCTCTGGAGGTCTTTCCTGTTCCTCATTGTGCAGCTGGAAAACCATGTACAGAGGCAGAAAGTGAGGATGCTCTCCATGGTGGAAGAGACTGCAAGACTCTTTGTGGCTTTTGTTGATTATTTTTCTATTTGCATACATGAGAAACTACTGAAAACATTACCCTGCTGTACAGAAAGGGGGCAGTGTGATGCAGGACACACAGTGTAGGTTAAACGTGAACTCATCCCTTTACCCTCGCATGAACTGAAACAGGATGGGGGAAGAAAAGTCCTCAAAAAACATGCACTTAATTCGGCACAGACTGTTTCTGCATAGGGTTGTTGTTCTGCTAGGAAAAAAAAAAAGCAGAGCAAGAATAACATGACAAACTGAAAGTACAGAGGAGAGGTACAGTGTGTCTGCTGCTGTCAGCATGGCTGTTATTTCACATCCCAGAGTCATCTCCTCGGTTGTGTTTTGCGCAGGAGGGTGAGGGATCAGGCAAGAGAAAGGCAGAGGACGATGAAGAAACAGCCACCAAGAAGGCGAAGAAATATGTGATCAGCGACGAGGAAGAAGAAGAGGAGGAGGAGGAAGAGGATGATGAATAATCCCTTTTTTTTTTTTTTAATCATTCCACTGTATTATCAGTGCTCAGAGCCCACATGGCATATAAACAGCCGTATCTTGTTTTGTAGATTTTCTTAAGACTTACTTGTGGGTGTGTGTCTGTGTGGGTGAATGTGTGTGCGTGTGTGATTGTTTATGTTCTGTACAGCTGAAGTGAAAATAAAGAAATGGTTGTCTTATGTAACTGAAGTGTCCAATAGACTTTTTTTTTTTAACACATTTTGTAACATAGTGATTCATATGTATGAGTCACACTGTTATGAGATTATGAAATATACAGAATAGTCTAGTTTTTGAACAAAAAGGAGGTTAAGGGGGTAAATGAAGTGTTTTTTTATTGAGATTAAATTAGGTTAATAGCTTCACAGTGACACCCATAAGGAAACACCACTTACCGTTTAAAGTCAATGCAGTTCATGAATACAAAAAAAAGCACCCCGAGGAAAAAAGTGGAGAGGGTGGTTTGGGGATACATCTTATCTGGTGTCGAAAGAACCAGCCAAACCCACCTAACAGGAGTGGCAAAAGATATGGAGATTTAGGAGCTGAGACAAAGAAGCTACAGTACAGAGAGACAAGATCCTTCTCAACCCACCTGTCAGCTCAGAGAGAAGTGAGGAAAGAAAAGCAGCATAGCTGGGAATAATTGCTCTTTGAAAAGGAAAGGTTAGCATCAGCAAAAACTCCTCTCTATTTTTACCTCATCTCTGCCAGAGTCCCAACTTTAAGACTCAACTACAACACACTGTTATGATCCCATACGCAGTTCAACATGTAGTGAGAGGATTTTTTTTATTATTAATTTAAAAAGTAACAGTAAATGAACCCAACTCAATTCTTAAATAGAAATGTTCTGATTGATAAAGTTTTAGCTGAATTTAAGACCTTTCTGTAGGTCTACAGGGTCACAGATACCTCCACTGGATATGAACAAACTATAAAATCTGATTTAAACATTGTCATGTAAAGACTTCTTTAAAATCCAGTAAGAGCATGGCGCTACGCCGACAGAATCGCACTGAGGATTTTTATGCTAATGTTGGTTTGCGAACAAATGGAACAGAAATATCCTATTAGCCACCATATTAACTTTCTTTGTGTGTGTAAGAATAAACAAATTAATGTTTTTCTGTGTTTCTCAGACCAAAGATTTGTTCAAATGTTATGGTATCTAAGGAAATTTATTTATTTTGATTCTACTTGATAAGTTTTTAGTTAGCGTCTTACAGTTACAAACTAATGTTACCAACCATGGAGGTACTGAAATCAATGCTTCAACTTGTTACAAATTTTAATAATAAATACATATATATTTATAAAAGAAAATTTATCAAGCACTTTAAATAGTTTGAGCATCCACATGTACTATCATGACCTATTTGTGACAACGACCGCAGCCCTGTTTCAGATCCAAAATTCCTTTGGTGGCCCATAATGGAAAATCAGAGATGTGTTTATGAAAAACCTAAAATTAGACTTTGGAGGACTCTCAAAGTACATTTCTGTCTTTTGGTGCGTCATTGTTCCAGTTGTTAGAAAGTCAGCGATGTTGGGTGAGGTATTGTGACTTGATCCCAGCTGAGCCGCAGAGTCACAGGGGAATGTAGAGAACAACAGTCCTGTTACTGATTCAAGTTCATCAGCCAGAATGACGCACACTGTCACACATACAACATACACACACACACGCAGGAGCATTTTACAGGTTCTCAGGGATGAATAGAAACCCTCCATTTCGACCTCTTGCCCAGTCTGGTCCAGACAGAACTGGCTACAGCCACCCAGGATACAAAACTGGTAAAACACCAGCAAAGCGATTAAGTAAGAGTTACATAAATTGGCTGCATTCTCTCTCTTGGCAACGGCCTCTCTTAGCACACGCACACACACACACACACACATACTTCTTTGACGTGGCTACAGACAAACAGACTTAACAGTACAGAGAGAGGTATCAAAGACTTCCTGAGTACCTTTTTGGCGGATACTCTCATTCAGGAGGGAGATACTGCCAGGTGTTGTGTTGAAAAGAGACTCCTGTGTTATCTGAGGGTTTGAAGTCAGTTTGCTCGAAATTCATAATGACTCTGCTCATTTTTAAATTAGATTGTTGTGTAACTAAACCATTCCATCGCTGAGGGCGAGTTGTGCCCAGCAGAATTATCTTTCCAATCATTGATTCATCATCGCTGAGAGAGCGGTGCGAGTGCATGTGTGTGCAAATAATTGTGCATGCTGGTTCACACATGCACCGGCGAATAGGCACTCCAGAGTGTTGTGCATGCGAAACTATATATAGTCCACACACAATGAATTTTTAATGCAGCTTTATGCAAATGTTGTGTGTCTTGGTTGCCTTGGGAGTGAAGGTGCAGTCAGTAGTGGTGTGCTGCGCTATCTCAGACTGCAGTGGGTTATGTAAACCCCATTCCACACAGTGAGGAGGGGAGGAGGGGGGAGACACTGCTACACACAGTCAGCACTGACTTAAGCGGGATGAGACAGAGGGGAGGGCTGCAGCATTTCACCCTCTTTTCTCTCCTCCACCTCCCTCTTCATCTTGTCTTTCTCTTTGTATCTCTTCAGTTGCTCCTTGCAGATTTACCCCATCATCCCTCCGTCCAGCCACAGCCTGGACTCTGTTACATCACATTTCTGTAGAGAAATTTCAGACAGCAGCAAAGAAGAGCAGAGACAGTTTGGTTTTTATTCCTTTTACAGCCCTGCAGGCATACACAGTGAAACACAGAGAATCTCCGGTGTCATTCGGGGGTAGCTTGGCTGCTGTGATGCCTATTAGGCTGGAGGAGGACGGGGAGGGTGGGTCAGTGTTAAGCCAGGTGCTTTAGGATGGAAACAAAGATGTGATTTCACAATTCTGTCAGAGTCCTCTCTGTTTGCGTGCGCTGATGCCCTGAGTGTGTGTTCTTGTATCCAGTTGCAGCATATGTGTGCTTTTTTGTTTGGAGGCTAAGGTGATACTGTTTTATTTTCTCCTTTACTCAAACTTTGACTTTGTCAGAGGATGCATACAATCACAGACATTGATTTGTGATCGGTGCTGGAGTAGCACTGGATAAAAATACACCACTTTCAGACATTTATTGACATACAGTATATCTCAGTTCACTGACAATACTACTTGATGAAATTTGACTTTTCCCTACCCTTTAAATCTACTTTTCAAGTTTTACTTGCTGCAGACTATCTCCTGGTAGAAATTTGAGATTATTACATAAAGGTTATTACAAATACTTATTGAATGTGTTTGTTGATGAACACTTTTATGATCAGAAAATCAAATTGCAGCTTTTTCTCATCTGCTGGGAACCAGAATATGAATCATCACACAAAAGCGATGATTATTCATACAATTTTTTTCAATTATTTTGTGTATTTCCAGTCTCATTTCAGAGACACAGACAAAGTGTCTCTAAATAATGAAGATTAAAGCAGGAATCATTGTTGTGATTCTGCATAAACACACTGCAAAGTCATCTCCCCATCTGTAATGTATTTTTCGTTTGCCTAATTAATTTCTGTTCCTTTGCTAAAACGCCTCAATAACTCTGTGTACCCTGACTGTATTCCTTCCCTCAGTGCCCTTTAGCCCTGTCTCAGTGTGTCCCATCCCCCTGCTGCTGCTTACATAAGAGGCTAATAAATAAAATAGAAACACAATACCCACTCTCACCGCAGGATCCTCAAACTCTCACACATGACACTGGCCCGGAGACTGCAGTGAAGGTCTTCGCACTGACATTTTCCCTTACGCACAGGCAGGTGTGTATTATCCGCACACATATTCAAACAAACACTGTAACAATGGAGTTTGATGTGCTTTCTTTCTTTCTTTTTTTTTTTTTTTTTTCTTGTGACCTCTAGCGATTTGGGTCAGCATGTTCTGCTGAAACATTCTGACTTAATCTGTAAACAACGGGTTACCTTCAGCTGTGAGCTGCTCTGCACACAGATTACACTTGAGCTTTTCCAAAAACAGACACAAAAAAAGTAAGGTGACCCTCTGTGGTACAGCTTCTCAGGAGCCTGGGCCGCTCTTCTACCTCATTAATTAAACACAATAAAGAGTTAGGCCTCCAAGTTTTCCATCAAGACCTGTATTAGTATCTACTTACTATACATCTTGGTCCTTTACCGTTAGTGTAATGCTTTAAATTTTCCTCCCCTTAAAATGAATTCACTAGACTCAGTTTGTCAGCACTGTAAGCCTTGCTTTAACTGGACACACAGTAACGTCATGATTCAGATAAGGTTCAGATGACTATTATGAAGGTAGATCAAGCAACGTCACTGATCACGTCTGTTGAGATGATGATTCTTTCACTTATTAGTTGAAAATAGTCAATTTTGTCATGCCCCATTAAGTAACATACCTTTTCTCACTTTATAAACGATGTGAACACACCACTCAACAGGCATAAGGTGCGACTGTTTGCTTGGATAAAAGTCTTTTTTTTCTGTGAAATCTGCTGATTCACTGCCCTTAATCTTGCTGCCTTATGTCCATTGTTCAGTGTCCTTTTAAGACCCAACCTCCTCAAACAACTGTTTGTCACTTTATACTTGTTTTCTCAATACTTTTCAGCTGTGAAAAATGAACTTTCAGCACCACCACACCTTTTTTAAAAGCCACAGTTTCTTTCTTACTTGAAGAATATGATCATCTTTTAAATCCCTTTTAAAAACACACTTTTACTCCTTGGCTTTTGATACTTTTTAGTGTTATTTTGTTTTTTATCATTTTAGCACTTGCTGTGAGCCTCCTTATTTATTTACTTATTTATCCCCTTGCATTAATGTATTTCTGCTCGCCTTATCTTGTTCTTTGTGTTATTTGTTTTTATGTGTCATTGTACAGCACTTTGGCTACCCTTGTGGTTATTTTAAATGTGCTATAGAAATAAAGTTGATTGATTGATTGATTGATTGATTGATCTTTAACCGCTGAAGTTCAAGAAAATCATTGACTCTGATCACTCTTTTCTTGAGCTTGGAGCTCCAGTGTTTTGTTCGGGCTTGTTGTCATATTTCAGGAGTAAATGTTCTGATAACGCCTGGAGTCCAGTGAGGTTCAATTGTAAATGATTTTACCAATTCTCAGAAACAACAAGGACAAGAATACAAATGAGAGGAAGAGTTTTGTTTTTCCTTTCTTTAATCCTTTACATATTACTGCTCAGACTTATCCTGTGACCTGCTGTGGGGGCTGTCGCAAATGTTGGAGAAGCTGGACTTTTCTTTATGTAAGGGGGTTAAAATACTGTAGTTACACCATGAGCAGTTAACGCAGCCTAAAGCTTCTTGCGCCTTTTCGTAACAGTACTGATGATAATCTGGAACAATTATCTGTCATTTCTTTGCAGGAAAGTTACTTTATTTTCTATATTAGTTGTAAAAAGTGTTTTTTTTAAGTACCTGGCTAACTCCAGAATTTAACATTCATTCTTACTACTTGTTACTTTGTGAAAATGGTGATCATGTGATGTGTTATAACAAGATATGACACACTTACTGACCCAGGTGTCAGATGCGCATCTTGTGTAAACAGCTCAACATGGGGGCGTCACGGTACATGCATAAAAAAGTCCCAAGTGGGTCAATTTGAATACATAGGTTACTGCCTGTGAAAGATGGTTTGATTGCAGTGTTTGTTTTCACTTTACAGTCAGCTGTGCAGTTGTCTCAATGAATTATCACTGACCTGGAAAATCTTAAGTTTTCAAGGCCTGGCTAACCCTTGAACATCTAAGTTTGCATTTATTCTTACAAGCTTTTTAGTTTATCCAACTTTGTATTGTGTGCTCTGTGTTGCTATAAGCCTACCACATGCAGATTCAAGTTTGGATATGGAGTAAAAGATGCAAACCCAGTGCTCAGTCCTTTCTTAAGTTTGTGCTACTTTTTGAGCTGTTTTGTATTTGCAACATGCATAGTTTCCATAATATTAGGCAGATTTTTTCCTCTAAAAATAAGTTCAGACACCACTTTTAAGTTTTATTGGTTTCGGCAGCCCTTGTTATAACAGTGTAATTATCTGAAACCAGTTAGACAAGTCTACAAGCAAACACAGACCCTTACATGTACAGCTGCACTGTTGACTAACAGTGTGCCGAGTATTTTCTGAGCCATCTCACATCCTCCACACTGAATATGACCTTTAACCTCCGGCAGACAAAACTTTCTTCAACTTTTGTAGAATATCATTTGTGCTCGGGTCCATCGAGGTTTCTCATGTTTCTCGAGGCCTTAAAGGTTGTGCAATTGCTGCATGCGTCTTAGTTTCACTTATCTATGTTGGGTATTATGTAAAGTGATAATTAATTATGAGCTACGAGTGAGGGTTAGTCAGTGGTTACATGACATGGAAACCTGACAGGGTGAGGCAAGACGTCAGTAAACCATCCGCTAAGTACATGTTATCCTGCTGCAAGTAAATGCTAAGTGAGGACCTGAGGATGTTTCATCTTTATAAATAAAACGACTTGATTTATAAAGCTAAAAAAAAAAAGTCTTTCAGTTTTGACATGTTGGTATCACCTCCATGGCAACAATATTCTCAGCAGCTGACTAACAGGTCGAATGAACATTAAACCTTACATTAACGTTCATTCATGGTGAAGGCTAACATTTTTTTTAACAGATGCAAAAAAAGAAAAAAAAATGTTGCAGCTGTACAAGGTCCTCTTCTTTTTACATTTTCTATCAGTATTTTTCTTCTTACTCAAACAGCCTCATTACACAGATTCAAGCCAAAGCCTGAATCTTTCTGTCTTGCAGCGAAGTGAGAAGAGCTGTCCACCGCCGTTGGCCTTTTTGGTCCATCACGACGTTGTGAAGTGGATGATCCATGTTCTTTAGAAGAGCCTCCACTTGGCACCAAAAGAGAAGAAAAGTGTGTCATGAAAAGAGAGGAGGCTGGGGGGAAAATGGTGCTGAAGTTAGGTGTGGGCCGAGAGCATTCCCAGCCTCCTGTGTCTGTGGTATTTCAGAGCCTGGTGCGACTCACAGCTCATTCTGACCTTGAGTTATCTAACCGACCAGCCAGCACATAGCCAAGCAAACCACCTCATTTTTTTTCACTCTCTCCTTTAATCCTGTCCCACCTGCTTCTTCTCCTCTGTTAGTTTATCCAAAACATTTAGAGCAGGGTAATATGTACTCAATGTACCATCTTCGCATTTGCACAGACTCTACTTGAGTAATCATTTAGTCTAACTGGTTTCTGATTGCCTGGAAACCAACGTCATTTTCTTGCTAATTTAGGAAAACTTTGATTCTGTTGCATCTGAACTGGTTACCCAACTTTTTTTTCATCTTAGACACGAATTTTCTGATATGAAAACATCTCTAAATCAGATCTGCTTTAATCTAAAACATTTGCTCCTGATGTGTCATGCAGAGAAAGACTTTGTACAGTTTGACTGCTCGGGTTGTTTGCTACATTGGCACCACATTTCCGAGTACTCTGGGAAAAAATTAAAACCGTAAATCTTAAAACCAAACAGAAATGAGTTCTTTCGCCATCGCAGTCACACGATACCATGGTGTTGAATTTACACCCCCCTTTGGGTTGCTTTCATCTAGATGTCTGTTGTGTTCTGTGGATGATTGATGATCTGGCTCTTTGTTGTCTTTATCTTCTCTGGAGTCTGCGGTTATGAAACCAGCCTGCAGTGGGCTGCTGCAGAGAGAGCTGCTTTCTGCTGAAGCAGGGAAACTGCTGGAAAACAGGCCTCTGACAGAGAGGGAGTGATACTATCTGGATATGATTTTGAGTGTGTGCGTGCGTGTGTGTGTGTGTGTGTGTAGTTTGTGTGTTGACATTATCCCCCTTGTTCCTATCTGCTGTCTCTAGGTAACAGTCAGCTAATCACCTGTTTCCCCACCCTGTCCCCTCCTCTCTTTCTCTCTTTCTCTCTCTCTCACAGGAGTCCCACAATCACTAGTACAGTTGGCTGCGCTTCTTTGTTTCAATAAAAATACATCCTTATTTTTCTCCGTGGATTTCTGCAGAGTGTTCCTTGTGTGCAGGTACTGCCCTCTTTACTGTAAATGTTTCTCGAACAGCATCGTTAAAGCCCCAGGGTGCCGCTTATGTAATGTCCCATACTGTAAGCAAAGCGAGGAAAGCAGAACCCGACGGCGTTAGTCATGTCGAGAATGCACAGCGACGTGTCTCACTGCAAATCCAAATTACCCTTGAGGCCTGACTGGAGCTCTGTGTCAGCTTTTTGCTCTCATCATTACTCTCTAAACTCTCTCGTACCCCCTGTTCCTTTAGTTCTGCTTTTTATGGTTTTCTGAGACTTTTCAACACTCGTATCCCCGTGTAAACCGTTATTTTGATCTAAGAAGGTAAATATACCGGCAAGGTCAGAAGAGCAGAGCAGAGATCTAACCCATGTGTGACAAATAGATGCATCCACTTGTCCATCCGCCCCTTTTCCATGACTGCAAATCATTGTCACCATGGATACTTCCACAAATAGAGCATCCGTTGAATGAGAACACCCAGTGCTCTGGGGACACACACACACACAAACACCAGTCACCTCATACCTGGAGTGAGGGGACAATAGTGTAACCCGCTGTGTAGCCTCTTTTCAGGGCCCCTCACATGTTTGTTCTGACCCACTTTCAGCCTCCTTAACTGTGACAGAGCAGATAAGTTCAGACACACTGTGGAAAATAGTTTGAAGATTGAAGTGGTTCAAACTGGGTCAATGCTGAATTTGGAGAAAATACCAAACTTCCGGACCAGTGATTTGACAAGTGTCATTAGATTGCTTCTTCTCGGAGTGGTTTCATATCTCCGATCACGACTCTTTAAAAGGACACAGAGCAATCTAACAGTTAAAAAAAAACCTTTATGGCTTTTTTTCTTTTCACTTTTGCTCCGTATCACTAGTGTCACCTGTCAACGTCATAATCAGTTTTGAGTCCACTTTTGTTCCATAACAGCAGGCAGCTGACCTGCAGATGGCTGTAGGGAGTGTGAAACCTCTGGTAAAGCTCTAATCAGTTAAGAGGATTGATCTGTTGGGTTACATACCTTTGTGGATGGATTTTCTCTTTCAACATCATATTAACAATCATAGCTCAGCATCTTAAGATACACATTTACACATGCACCACTCAGACATACTGTAAACACCAGCTGCAGGCTTTCATTGTGGACATCGTGTCTCGTACACACGAAGAGGGGAGACAGGGAGGGAGGGAGTTAGAAACAACTCTACAACAGAGCTCGAGAGAAGAATGTAATTTTACAGTATTTTAATCCCCTTAACAAGAGCGAACACAAATGTAGTTCACATATAACTTAATGTTATAACCATAAAAGAGGATAAACTTTGAACAGGACCACAACATGGATATTTAAAGACAAGCTGCACTACACTTTGAAAGGTCCTCAAATCTGAACATTTAAAGCCATAGATCAAGAAGAAAAGTGACTTTTAATGAAACTTTTGTTTTAATTGGCCACCTAAAAACTCTAGATGGACCTCAGCTAGGTCATAGAGGGCTCTCTGTGGGCTCTCTGTTGAAAGAATCCTTTATTTCTCATTTCTTTAAGGTTGAATTTTTGTGTCCAAGACTGCTCGACACAGCTTGTAGGGCTGGAGGCCAGAGCTCAGACTCAGGTCCGAGTTTGAGTCCACTTTGTGTTGTGACTCAAATTGGACTCAAACACTGATGACTTTATTAAAATTTAAAAGATGTAGATAAAATTTCTTTATTTAGTTAATCAGGGGTCATGACTGACTCATGTCATAAACTCATTTATCAAGTTTGAAGCGAGAGCTGACAGGTGTGTCCACCTG